TCAGAGTGTTTTCTAAGTTGAACGTTATCCTATACACTTCAAGCATTGGGCACTCCACTAGAATGTGCTTCACTGTTAACTGCACGTCACAAATTTCACAAATAGGCAACAGGTTCTTGGGCTAGAAGATATCCGTGGGTGGCTCGTGTGTGTCCTAGTCGGAGTCGTGTGATGGTGGTTTGCATGCGTCGGTTGCTGGTGATGGTTTGCCATGTTCCAAAGCTCGGTTTCACATCCCGTAGTTTAGATGGCTTGGTTCTCCAGTTATCATTCCAGTTCTCCATTATTTTCTGCTTTAGATGCACCGTGGCGTCACAAGCTGGTACCTCTTCGATGGACAGGATTGAGTTGTTGATAGCTGTCTTTGCTTTCCGATCTGCTAACTCATTACCAGGGATCCCTATATGTGACGGCACCCAAAGGATGGTGATATTTTTGTGTGGGGTGTCGCTTATTTCGGTCTTGATTATATTGACCAATGGGTTTTTACAGTATATTGTATCCAGTAGTTTGACAGAATTTAGTGAGTCCGTTATGATAATCCAATCGTTGGTTGAGCTTTGTTTAGCATACCGAACAGCTTCAAGTATGGCGTATAGTTCACCAGTGAGCACTGTAGCTGACTGCGGCAACTTGCTTTCCAGAATTGTTGTTGGAGTTACTACAGCTGCTCCTACATATGTGTCTGATTTGGAGGCATCTGTGTATATTTCGCTGTAACTGCTGTATTGGTGTCGAATGGATGAAAAGTGTTGGATGATAACTTCGCTCGGAGTGTCTTGCTTGATAAATTTGGTCAGTTTAATGTTGATGTTAGGAGGCTGAATGGTCCAAGGAGAAATAGATGAACTGGTAGTGGCCAGGACCGGAGGCAGTCTGTGTATATGTAGTCGCCGTAAATACAGTTGTACCCTATGGTGAAAGGATATACCATATGACACATTTCTAGGGTTCGTTCGATTTCTTAATAAAATGCGTCTGTATCCTGGTAATGATGGGTTAGAGGCAATTTTGGTGGCATACTGTAAACTTAAAATTTCTCTTCGTACCTGCAGAGGAGCTTCTCCAGATTCGCAGCATAGGCTGTCTATGGGTGTAGTTCTGTAAGCTCCTAATATCAAGCGAAGTGCAGTGTTATGTAGTGTATCCAGTGGTTTCAGTATAGATGGCTTTGCGGAATTGTATGCTACACAACCATAGTCTAATTTTGATCTAACTAGAGTTCGGTAGATACTGAGAAGAGTTTTCCCGTCTGCACCCCAATGTCTATTAGATAAGTATCGGAGGATATTTATTCCTTTCTGGCAAGATTGTGTCAGATAGGAGATGTGGCTTCTCCATGAAAGGCACTGATCAAAAATTACCCCAAGAAATTTGATTTCTTTAAAATATTCAAGAGCAATGTTAGCTAAGTGCAGTGGTGGTTTTGCGTGGTTAGGCTTTTTTGAGAATATAATGCACTGCGTTTTATGTGGTGAGAATGCAAATCCACTTCTATTAGACCAGTGTTCCAGCTGGTTCAATGTCGATTGAAGTAAATAGGTACTGGTTGTAATGTATATAATCATGTCATCAGCATACAGGCGTGCTTGTATAGGCTTTTGTATGCTTTCTATAATATCATTAATGGCTATAAGGAAGAGCGTTGGGCTAATGACAGATCCTTGAGGTAGGCCATTTATCTGTTCTCTCTTTTCAGATAGTGTGCCATTGGTTCGAACTTGAAAGTTTCTGGTTCGCAGGAAGTTTTGGATAAATGCGAGGATATTTCCGTCATATCCCCAGTTTTGCAATTTACGGATTATGTCAAATTTCCATGCGGTGTCAAATGCTTTGTTAATGTCAAAGTATATTGCGGCACAATGTTGTTGGTCGGCGAATGCTTCGTGTATACATGATTCTAGGTCTATTATGTTATCCAATGTTGATCTATTTGATCTGAATCCTGCCTGTTCGCATGCTAGCTGATTATTGTATTCCAAGTTCCACAATAGCCTACGATTAATAATTTTTTCCAATAGCTTACACATTGAGCATGTTAAGGAAATTGGTCGGTAAGATTCAGGTGCCTGTGGCGATTTGTTTGGCTTTTGGATGGGTATGATTATGGCTTGTCTCCATATATCTGGGAATACTTGTTCATTCCATATAATATTGTATATGTCCAAAAGGATATTTTTAGCTGAAGGTGTAAGATTTTTGAGGAAAATTGTTGGTATGTCATCTGGTCCTGGTGATGTATCTTTTAAATCAAGAAGGGCTTCTTCCATTTCTTGTTTAGTGATTGGTGTATTTATTGGACTAGAGGTGTCTTTATTTGTAGCAATTACCGTTTCAGAGTGTCTTTTCTGGTGAAGGAATTGCGTGTTGAGATTCTCATCACTGGAGTTTCTAAAATAGGTCCTCGATAGAACGTTCGCAATATCATTGCTTTGAGTGTAAATTTGAGACACTTCTTTCAGTAACTCAATATTTGTGTGTGATTTGGCTCCAGACATGCTCTTTATCTTTTTCCAGACTGTGGATACGTTAGTAGAAGTATTTATACTGGTCACGAATTTTCTCCATGATAACTTTTGTTCCGTTTTTATTATTAACCGTGCTTTAGCTCGCTTATGTTTGAATTCAGACAAGTTATCAGTTGTTTTATGTCTTCGCATCTTGTTTAGTGCTTGTTTGCTTTCACGTATAGCCTTTTCACAATTTTCGTTCCACCAGGGAACTGGATTCTTATTATGTAAAATTTTTGTTTTACCCATGCATTGATTTGCAGCTTCCTTAATAACTTCCATGAATGATTCAAGAGTTGAGTTGATGTTGCTGGAAACTTTGACTTTCTCTATATTAGTATCAATGTGGTGAGAGAAAGAGTTCCTGTCAGCCTTTTTTAGATTCCATTTTTCAATTGGTGGAGTACTGGTGACTTCCTTATTTGTGTCTCTTATTATTATGGGAAAGTGGTCGCTTCCATATAAGTCATCAGCAACATTCCACTGTAATTGTGTTACTAAAATTGGTGAACATATGCTAAGGTCGATTGCAGAAAAATGTCCTGATGCAGAATCTAATCTAGTGCTGCTGCCATCGTTTAAAACTATCATATTCGCATAATCCATTGCATTTTTTATCATATTACCTCGAGTATCATTTTTATATGAATTCCATGTGTGGCTGTGTGCATTGAAGTCGCCAACTACTATTTTAGGTGATGGTATTTGTTGAAGTAATGATTCAACTTCATTACTTTCGAGGTGATAATTTGGGGGTATGTATATGGAGCATATGTTGATTGGTTCCGTTGATTCAACGGTAATGGCTATAGCTTCTAAGTTTGTAGTTAAAACTATTGGTTTGGTAGGTATTTCAGACCGTATGTATATTGCCACTCCTCCACTGGCTGTAGGTGTATCACGGTTCTTAAAAAATCCTTTGTAGCCTTTTGGTGTGTGTGTTTTTGTTTGATGGAAGTGTGTCTCTTGTAGGCAGATGATGTCTGGTGTGTGATCGGCAATTATTTTGCGCAGCATATTTAAATGGATATAATATCCATTTAAATTCCATTGTATTATAGATTTGAATTTTATATTAAAAGGTAGAGTCTACGGACGAGGTGTCACTGAGAAGATCACTAGAATTATTTTCGAGGTGTTTCTCCATCTTCTTTCTTAATCTTGTGCAACGATTTTTTAGTGCTTTGTCTGTGATATGTGGATAAATCAGCAGAAGCATTTCTATTATTCCTTTGAAGTCAGATGAGTGATCATTGACAATATTAAATATGTCTTTTGCACCATGCGAATTTTCCAGTAGATTTTTCAATTGGATAGAGTTCAATACAAGTGGTGGCGTTTGGTTGTTAATGAATAATTTAACTGATTCGAAAGCACTGTCTGCTATGTGCTGTGGTTGGTTGTCTGTTTTAGGTTTCTTTGTACTTATGTTTTTTGGTGTAGCGAATGTAGGATATCCAGTATTTGGAGGTGTAGGTTCAAGTTCAGTTGTCGGCGATAATATTTCTGAAAGGCTACGTTTGTTACTTGTTTGTGTGTTTGAGCTTGTGTTGATTTTATTAGATTCTGTCTCGATCTGGTTTGGGCTGTCTTCGGAGGTCGAGGCTCTTGTTATAGGTGTAGTGAAGCTGGTGACATTAGGTTGTGGGTTTGGTGTAGCTGCTGTTGATTGCTGGCTGTGGTTAAGGTTTGTTTGCTGGGATACAGGTGTGTCTGATTGTGTGGATGGACACTGAGATGCGATATGTCCTGTGAGTTTACATTTAAAGCATTTTTGACTATCTAGTGATAGAAATATGCGATAAGTCAAGTCTTCGTGGGTGACTTCTAAGGACTCTGGGATGAGGTTGTGCTCATCAGGTGTTATATACGCCTGACGTCGAAAACTCAAGATATGGCTGTATTCCGGTAATGCTGCCCCGATCTTGAGAAAGGTGATAGGTGAGATGAGTTTAACTCCTATTTGCTCAAGTCGATCCTTTAGAACTTTATGTGGGATGGTAGGACATACGTTAGACATCACTAATCTGTCAGAGGGAGTAATAAGTCTGCGAGCTTTTATTGGTTCTCCATTAATGATGATCTCACCAGGATTCCCTAGGAAATGGTCTACAATTTGTTTACCTACTTGATAGGTAAATACATATTCTATTATTTGATATTCTAGAGCAGAATAAGATGTTTTTTGGGTTCACTATAGGGCCCAGTTTCAATAAGTAGTCTTGGATCTTTAATCCATCAATAGCATTTAAAATGATAGCTTGCTCTTTATTTGGATATTTTACTGAGTTTTTACTCAAAATTTGAGAGTATGATTGAACTGAAGTATTGTTTTCTGGTGTAGTTGGGTGGTCCATATCGGATCTATCAGTTGAACTTATCTGGTGGAATGAGTTGCTGTAACATATCTCGATGCGGTCCTGTCCGCAGAAATGTGTTTATTTTGGAACGCTGTTTGCTCGCGGAAAAAGGAATTTCTGTTTGCTGAGATTTGTAGATTGCTGGATACAATTACAAAATATTACTCACAGCGTATGTTGATACTGGTATTTATAGGTGTATGGATGATGCACTTGTGTTAAAACAATTTGAATTTCACTACTTATGAATGATTTAAGTCAGAGCTCGGTTCACTGGCTGCTAACAGTAAAACGATCAGGAACGGACTCCGATCTGTTAATAATTACTTGGTAAGCATTTGTCCAACAACAATACATTTTGTTCCACCACGTTTAGCATACCTACCCTTTATTTTACCTTCCACAGTTTTTGTAGAAAATAACGTTGAGGACACCGTTGGTAAACGTTAATTCCGATCTTCAAAAACATTTTAATGAAACAAAAACGTCAACATACATAGATTAAACTCGTGTTAAAACTGGTGCATTTTCATATTTTCAGGTTCGTGCATATAGTGAGAATAACAAAACTTCAACAGACAGCGACCAAGTACGTATTGTCACATTTCCAGAACCGACCGATATTATCCTTCTGAACCGAACGGGATACACAATGCATCTGTCCTGGGAAATAGATAAATACATCAAAGACTTCAAGGTAGAGTGTACTCTGCTCACCTCTAATACATGGCACACTGTCGACAGCATCGAAAAAAGGAACAACACTGTTACTTCCAGTCTCACGGGGCTAACTCCAAAGACTCATTACAAATTTCGGTTGAGATTGACGTACCAGTGGAACGCAGATGAGTATGTGTGGCCAAAAGATTCGAGGTTCACATTTGAAACGTTAGGTAAGCCTCATTCATTATCCTTCTTATTTCCACTTCAGCCGTTAAGCTTATCGGTACCTCAGTGGTTAGTTATTTTGACTTGTTTGATTCTCACTGCAAAAAAACATATTCTATTTTCAGGTATTTGTTACCACTATACATAATTGTTGTAAATAAATGTTATTATTGTTATTTCCTAAAGAATCCATACTCGTGACTAAATATGGTTAAAAATAATTCGTTGGTCCAGAGACAAAAGACCAGGCCTAGACCATGCTCGTGAATTGCCAAGAAGCACTAAACAGCTATCCATGGTTGGCTATCTTTCTGATCGGACGGACGAAAACATCATGTTTGATAGACAATAAAATGGTTTATACATAATGAGGTCAATAAATAGTAAATGATATGGTATGGTAATATACAATAATGACCCTAAAATGTTTTATTCGTCAACTGCTAATTCCTCTTATTTATAAAAATCAAAATACTTCTCCAAGTATTCAGAGTGTCCTGAAAGTTGGGTATTTCCTTTTCAGAAACAACTACGCTTAAAAGCTAATGTGTGGTGGAACAGTAGCGAAAACGTAAGAAAAAATAAATGAAAAAGCACTCACCAATCACTTACAGAGACATTTCAAGTACGGCTCTTTCACTTATATGTCTAGGTAGTGTAAACCGTCCATCCGATAAGGGAAGATAAAGATAAAGATTTATAAAATTGTTCGTTAAAGATGTGGCCGATGGGCTACGTGAGGATTTTTCAATACCCACAGAGGACTATTTCGGAAGTTGTTCGCCCTGTTATGTGTGAAGGTTGATTAGTCCGTGACCAATACCGACTGCAACAACCACTCTCAAAAGCACACTCTTACATAAAAATTCTCAGCTTGGAGGGCTTATTCAAAAGGGTACAATCCATGAGCACCCAGCGTTTACCACAGTTTAGTCTTGGAGACGTGCACTTGTCTAGCCACTTCCATAGTGCTTATTGAAGGATTTTTTCTACAAGATCCAATACCCCTTCCTCAGTTTGCACCATTTGCGGATAATCTAGATCTCCCACTGTCCCCACCTCGACATTCCTGGAGAACGGTCTGTGCCTCTAGCACAAGGTAAACAGATCCCTGAAAGTCTGGGAAAGCAACCTGCATACACTCGCGAAGCCTCGGTAGCATTTTGAAGACGCTCACCATTAACTAAAACCATGCCGACAAGTTCAATAATGCTGTAAGAGGGTGCTATTTTGTTTTTTTCGAACCAATTAAAATAAATGTTTTGTTTACGTACGCTGCCGGCGCTTGGGTTGAGCACAAACGTACTTCGTGCCTTCTTAAATTTGATTTGACCCAAATACAGGAGCGGGTTAGATTGGCTTTAGGTTTTATTGAATTTTTGGTTATATGTAAGTTAAAATTATGAGTTGTACACCAATATGTAGCCAATAAATGTTCTGCCAAATGTTGAAAAAGTTTTTGAAGAAATTTCAAGCTGGATTCAGGAGGGCGTTTGAGACTATTGACAGGTATAAATTACTTACAAAATTGCATCACTTCGGATTTAATGGACCAGCATTCAAAATTCTACAAAACTACTATATTAATTGACAGAAGTGAAAAAACCAAAATTGGATCTACATTAACAAGATCAAAAAATATTTCTGTTGGTATACCACAAGGTTGTAAACTAGGTCCACTACTATTTGTTTTATACATTAATGACATTTGTAATATTTTAGACTATTGTAAACTTCAGATATTTGCAGATGATACATTAATATACATATCAAATGAAAATATAGACACTGCTTTAAGAATGCTAAATTCTGACTTGAAAAAAACCGTAAATTGGTTAAATGTAAGTAAACTAAAATTGAATACTTCTAAAACAAAATGTATGTTAATAGGGAAATACCTAAATGAAAATACTATCACAGTTAGGATAAATGCAGAGATAATTGAAAATGTTGAATCAATTAAATTTCTAAGTATATATACTAAGTGACATATAAATCCGAACACCCAGTTTAAATGGTTTTATTTTAATAAAATTTTGTATAAGTACTTAATGAAGCATAATAAGTAAATGATAAAAATTTTAAAATGATTGCACTGCTTTAAAGCCCTTTGACCTTTAATAATGTGTGGATGCACCCTGATGTGCTACGCATTCTCCAACGCGCCTAGGCATGCTTCTGATCAGGTGGTCAATGTCCTCCTGTGGTATCTCATTCCAGGCAACCACCAACTCCTCTCGAAGTGCTTCTAGAGTCTGAGGAGGACGTTGCAAATTGAGCAATCTCCTACCCATCATATCCCACACGTGCTCAATTGGGGATAAGTCGGGAGATCTTGGTGGCCATGGTAACAATGTGACATCATTATGTTGAAAGAAGTCTATTGTGACTCTTGCAACATGTGGTCGGGCATTATCTTGTTGGAAAGTTGGATCTGCCAGGGTGTCAAGATAGGGTAAAGGGATGGGGTTCTAGAACTTCGTGGATATAACGCTGCGCGTTCATGTTACCTCTGATGAAGATTAAAGGTGACCTGGAACCATAAGCTATAGCACCCCAAACCATAACTCCAACAGTGTGATGAACATGTCTTTCAACAAAAAACTGTGGATTCCTCCTTTCACCACGTCGCCTTCTAACCCTGGCACGACCATCGTGCATGCCTAAACAAAATCGGGACTCGTCACTAAAGACAATACTGTTCCATTCCTGATCCTAGAGTGACCGTTGTCTGCACCACTCAAGGCGATTACGTCGGTGTTCTCGAGTTAAAGGGAGGACCCAGTGTGGCCGTTATGAAAACAAGCCAAAACTTCTCATTCGTCGGTAAACACTTCGCATGCCAATAGGTCTAACGTGTTCTGCAAACCATTCATTTGCAATGGACGTGGTAGTGGAGAAACGGTCCCTTAAGGCCAATAATCTTAGGCGGCGATCTTCACGGTCTGTTGTTCTACGGCGGCGTCCAGTGTCCCTTGCTCTTTGCGTACGGCCTTCTCGAAGCCATGCCTGACAACACCTAACCACAGTGTCTACACTTCTTTGCACTCTAACTGTAATTGCCCGAAAAGAAAGTCCAGCTTCCCGAAGTCCCACTATACGGCCCCTACCAAACTCACTAAGTTGACGAAATCGTACAGGTCTCCGTACTCTAGGCATCGTAACCGATCGTAAAGGATGTCAAGAACCAAAATCCGCCAACGTTGATTCTTTACTGCGGCTGAAATATTCATTTTTAGAGCGTTAGTGAATTAAAAAAAAAAGTAGTATAAAAACCGGAATGTCCAACTGATAAGGCTGAAAATTTTTTCACTTGTTATTTACAGTAAGATAAATACATTCACCAACTTTTATTAAAATAAAACCATTGAAACTGGGTGTTCGGATTTATATGTCACTTAGTATATATATATATATACATATATTGATAGTAAACTAAAGTTTGAGCATTACTATGAATACATTATTTCAAAAATTGTCAAGAAAACAAATTACTTTTATAGGGCTTCTCATAGTCTTGGTATCTATTCCAAGAAAATAGTTTATAATACAATTATTCTACCGCATTTACTATATTGTTCAACTATCTTGTTCACTGCCAATGAAGCTGTATTCTCAAAATTACAAGCCTTGCAAACTAAAGCTATGAGAATAATATTGAATAAAAATAAATACACCAAAATAAAATCTATGTTACAAGAATTGCAGTGGTTGAATATAAAAAATGTCATATCATATTTGGTTCTTATTTTTATATTTAAAATAAAAAATAGTCGTTTGCCAGAACATTTAGAACACTACATAGAATTGAATAATCATTATCACAATTATTGAACAAGAGGAAATATAGATTTTCATTTACAAAATTGCAATAGTAATATAACTAGCAAATCAATATTTTAGAAAGGATTACTTGAATTTAATAAACTAAATAATGATATAAAGTCTACTTGTAGTTTAAATATATTTAAATGAAAATTAAAGGAATATTTCATGGACAATGAAAATTCTTAGAGATGCAAATTTTGTTTTTCGTAAACATGTGTATGTTATGTAATTGTTTAGTTTTTTAGAAGAATGTAATTGTAGCAATCATGCTAAATAAATCTTAAACAAAAGGCTTTGGTGTATATGCTACTAGGTAAAACCTCTTATTTTTTCAAGATGTATACGTCGTGTAAAGGAAAGTCCCAGCTTTGCGGACACTCGATATTTATACACGATACGAATATTTCCGACAAGAAAAGGGAACTTTTTATAAAAATAACGAACTTCACCATTCTTCAATGGATTTATCAACAAATTATTGGTACCATTCATTTCAGGTGATAGGCCAAGTCCTCCCGGTATACCAATAATACAATACGTGAAGCCCAATATGTACAAAGTATTTTGGGAGGCATCTAAAGAAAATGGATCTCCTATCGAAGAATATAGATTAGAGGGAAAAGAAGTTCATTCTTACAGAAACAAGCGAAATAGCGATCTCACACCTATGAGTCATATCAATTCTTCAAATGAACAGAGCGAAGAAAACAGTTCGGATTGGATTACTTACTATAATGGCACAAGTGAGCTTCTATTTTCTTTCATTATCTTTAGGAGTGTTTGAAAAAATATACTGCTCTAAAGGACCAGACACAAAACATATAGAAAGTGATTAGTTTCTGAGAAATAGGCGGATGAAGTTTGCTCGATTTGCAAAAAGTTACGAATGTGTCGATTATAATTCTCAGACCAAAAACTCGGAAATATAGAATAAAGAAATATTGCGTTAAAACACATTGTAGGGAGGTATTTTGATCGTGAACATAATCCTTACGAGGTCGATTTCAGGGAAAGTTGATTTTTATATGTGTCTGCTGTAAGAGATCTGGCACGAGTTGTTCGAGAGATCAGGAAACTAGGACAGGTAACTTTTGAAGGACACAGTACGAGGTCGGTTCAATAAGTACCCATGTTAGAAATGAAGACACCATTTTTTCCAAAAAAATTCTTTATATTTTTCAACATAATCCCCTTTATAAAGATAGAGTTTTCCCAAAAATAGGATTTGTCGAACTGTCCAAAATATGCCTCTGTCTCGGCGATGACTTCCTCGTTTGAGCTAATTTTTTTCCCGCGAGCCATTTCTTCATGTCAAGGAACAAGAAAAAGTCGCATTCGTTTTTTTATATACTCCAACTACCACGAAGGCCTAAGGCCTAAACACCCATTGGGTACCGTGGGGCTATAGGTGGATACAGGGGAAAGGGGGAACGCCACACGGACTCTGGCGAGGGAACACGTGTGCATGCAACATGCACACATTCTGGCTCCGCCTACAAGACCCGCCGGGTGGTACCTTAGCGTTCGACAGTCAGAGACCGTCTACCACCTACGGACAATCACAACATCCATAGCCAAGAGAAAAATTTCTCCTGGGACCGGATTCGAACCCGCACAGCGCACGGCAACTGATCAGGAGACCGAAGAGTCTACTACTGCGGCCACCGCTGCTGCCTGAGTGAAACATCATCTTTTTCGTCAAATGTGGCCGTGTTTCCTTCAATTTTTCGAAGAAGCGGTCCAATAACTCACAGCAGTATTGTCCAGTGATCGTTCTTCCTTTTTCTGAGAAATCCACGAGGATGACGCCGTTCGTATCCCAAAAAATCGTCGCCATAACCTTTCCAGCCGATAGGACAGTCTTCGCCTTCTTTGGAGCAGATTCACCGGGAGAAATACATTGTTTTGATTGTTGCTTAGTTTCTGGTGTGTAATGATGAATCCAGGTTTCATCGACGGTGACAACTCGTTTCGCTTAAATTGCTCCAAACTCTGCTTTGAAGTTAACAGCCACATCCGCTTGTTGTCCACCGTGAGCAATCGCGGCACCCATTGTGCCGACATTTTTTTCATATCCAACGTATCTATCATGTGAAATATTGATTGCCGTTCCGGTCGACACACCTACGGCTTCTGCTACTACGCGCACTTTCGTTCGTCGATCAGCGAGAATCATGTCGTGGACTTTTTGAATGATTTCCTAACCGGGTCTGCCGGGCGTCCTGGTCGCTCCTCATCAAAAACGGATGTTCGCCCACGTTTAAGTTCGCAGAACCAATATCCAAATGTAGTCATAGATGGCGAAGTGTCCCCATAAACATCATCCAACTTTGCTTTTATCTCCTTGCATTTTTTCCCATCCTAAAACAAAAAGCGAATTACCGAACGATACTGCTCTTTTTCCATCTTTCCATCACGAAACACGTGCTACTCGAACGTCTGCCACACGATGATAACATTAACTTCCCTCAGGAACGCCTTCCGTCGTCAAACACGGGTACTTATTGAACCGCCTTCGTATATGCCTGACTCTTAATGCTTTTGGAAATATACAAATGTTATCGGTTTACGTTTTCCTTAAACAAAACATTTACATTGAAAAACTTTTTGAATCAGATCTAGATTGAAAAGGATTCCGTTTATCTGGTTTATCAATAGTCCATACATCATTCAAAGTCCGTTGATGTAAAACTTTTCTAGAAAGTGTCTAGATTTGGCAATAAAAACGACTTTTTAAATTAAGAATTCTAAACTTTCCAAGTGACGTATTCGTATTAAATACTATTCCTTGATATCACTGTAAGTTGGGTACAAATTGGAAAATGCCTTCACTTCTGTGCCCCTATTCTTGACTTTAATAGAAAATCGCACTCCTCTTTTTCTACTCCCGCGGTTTTCTATCAATCCGAAAATACTGTATTCTTGAAAGGACTTGATAAAGAAGAGAAAGGAAATCAAGACACAGGGTTGCCAGGTTTGATTACACGTGTTAAACCGATCAAAATGGAGATAATTTTGACAGTCAAGATTGTGGTTATAATTTTATGTATGGAGCCGAAAACTTTAAAAAACACATTACAAATGAACAGATGGACAAAATGATTGAATTTCTCTGAGAGCACGCCCAAATGCACCAGGGAAAATTCAATCATAGATTAAAAGATGCTGTTTTAGAATGACCAAAACTTAATCTACTCTTGACTTTGTTTTGATCGAAAGTGCAGAACCTCGTGGGGGTGGTTGTATAAATGGAGTCAATATCTCTAGCAATTCTTACACCAAATCTTTGATCAACCTAAACATCTGTACAAATCTTCTATCCGAATTTATGAAGGGATCTAGGATCTCTCCCAATCTCCGATTCCTCAACTGCCTCCTCTACATCCTCGTTAATAATATCGTTCCAATACATCAATTGATTGAAATTAACCATTTTTTGAAATTTGTTTAGCAGGAACTACAATAACAATGCCAAACATGTCAAGTTTTAGGTTATATAGGGCTATTTTCTACTAATTCTTCCAGTTTCTCTTGGTCGGTACCAAGAGAAATCGCGACTGTATTTCTTGGCCACGCCCACTTTTTTTAACTTTCTCTCATAATTTCTTCTCCCTCAAACTCAAGAATAGAGGTCCTGTGAGGAAATCAATGGCAGCTGTCCACATAATTAGCTAATGAATCCCATTTAGTCACCAAGACAAGAAGGTAGTTCGAGAGTTATTTAAATACTGCATGAATCAAATGTTCTTATTGATAGGTGCTATCCTCAGATTATTACGGAAAACGTATTCAATCACGTTTTTAAAACCCAATAAAGTTTCCACTATGGATATCTTATCAACAAGTATGAAAAAATAAAAATATCGAGGATTTACCTGATAATGCAATGATTAATGGGCACTACTGTAGATGCAAATCTTCTGTCCGAACCCTAGTTGTATGTGGTTTTTTGACATGCTCTCCATGATATTGGAATGTGGTTATCCTTCGCAAAAGTGACGCCAACCATTAGATTTGTCAGATGCAGAACAAAACAAGAAAACTCAAATTAATACTCAATAAAATACAATAACTTGAAGCTACGTTCCCATTAGTGCACTTTTTCTTCTCATTTCACCTTCAAAATCAACATGACCTTAATTTGACCTTGTAAAGCAATTCGTTCCTGATCAGCATAAACATATGAAAATCAACTTGCCTTGAAACTGACCTTGTAATGATCATGGTCACGATTACATGACACCTTCCAACAAGGTGTTTCAATGAAATATTTCTTTTGGTATACCGATTCTCAACGTTTTTGGTCTGAGAACTAGAATCTGCATGTTCAAGATTTTTGTAAATCGGACAAACTTTATCTGCCTATATCTCAGAAACTAGTTATAGGGTTGTTTTGGTCTCATATACACTTTTGTTTGGGAAGACAAGAAATATATCATATTGAATTTTTAGACAAATCGGCTGGGAGCCATCATCCATATTCAATTCAATCGACTTTGTTTAACAAATACATTCACTAACCACAGTTACAAATGACGAAGTCTGATCAATCAGGATTATTATGTTTTGATCAAAATGCTTAATACAATTAAGGTGTTTTAAACCAATTTGTTTCAAACTGTTTAAAACATGTTTTTTGTCGTTTGTGAACTATTCAAGTTTTTTTTATATTTTTTTAAGTATCATTAAAATTGATTTTATTTTGCAAAATGAAACTAAAAGAGCCATAGGTTAAAAGACATAGGTACTAAAAAATATACTTAATTTTTTATTAATTAATCAAACATGAAACTAGGGAATTACCTAATACTACAGGAAAAAAATATGTTTCTTAACGAACGAGTGAACATAATAAACTGCATTAAACTCTAATACTAGTACACTACAAGCTGCAGAATAATAATATGACTATGTATTTACTTGTATAATAACATTAAATAAGTTACTTAAATTTCTATAAAAGTATACAACCCATGTTATTTAACAAAAAAATCAAAAAATCCTTAATTCCATATTTTTAAAATATAAAATCATGGACAATGTATATACATAGAATAAATTTTTAGATTTCACTACCTTTTACGGAACTCCAAGTAAAAAAAATGTACCGTTTCATAATTCTCCAAGCTACTTAACTTTGAGGAAGTGGGTTTGGTAGAAACATCATCATTGTCGGTATCAGAACTATCTGATATATGAATATTTTGTTTTTCTAACTTACTTCATTGTTCAAGTTGTTTACAATTTTTAATATGCTTGCTCATTCTAGCCACCTGTGGCACTATATCCATATTGCAGGTCAAACATTTTGCTCTTTTATTTATTTTGAGCCAGCTTTGGCATCAGTCTCCTTAAAATATTTCCACACGGAATAATTTCTCCTTCCTGTCATTGCCTTTCTTTTGTTGCTGATCTTTAAACAAAAACACCACCACGCTACGACTTCGCACATTTGACTGCTGGAGATCGCAACTTCCCCGACGTCCGCACGGTAGTTTCCCGCCGTCCCCTTTCAAATTAGAGATGTGCTCTGATAGAGGTGGATCAAAAATAGTGATAACACTTTCAAGGAACTTCATTAACGCAGCTAGATTATATAGGCAATAGTTTTTTAATTTTTTTATTGTTTTAAACATGTATTAACAGTGTTTTAAACATGTTTTTTTTTCAGCTAAATTTGAATGTTTTAAACAAAAAAACAGTTTTAAACTACAAAAACATGATTTTATTTAAAACATGTTTTTTTCAACCCTGTGATCAGTGGTCAAATCATATTTAACCATTTCAAGCTTATTGCTACCATAACCTCAAACTTAGCCTAAAGGAAAATAATTAGAATAGAAAAAGTCATCCTAAAGTATATCGCCTAGTCGGCCTTCGTACCGATCCTACGCATCAGGAAGAGACTTAGGATCAATATATAATTTAAACTGGAGAGAAAAAGAAAATAATTAAGAATTTAATAAACAGATCTTATAGTTTTTGAAAAATTGCTAATAAAGTTTTATTCAAATGAATTAATCAAATTAAAAGAGCGTTGAAATATAGAATCAAATTCAAGCGAATAACCAAATGAAAATGGTTTTTACCATTTTGGATTGGTATTTACCGATCCGTTCAAGCGAGTGTGGTTATCAGTTTGGTTATAAGATCCGTGACGTCATGAATCAGCTGTTATATGTCATAGTTATCACCGCAAAATTCTGGTATTTACCCAACTCAGGAGTAGTTTTATATTTCTGGTTATTATTTGAAATGTGACAAGTTAAAATTTTGCCGGGTATTGGATATTTTTGTTGTACTTCATCTTCATTTTTGGGAAACCTGATACAGGCTGACTTCAGTTGTAGCACGCAGGCAGAGTACCTTAATATTTATAGTCATTACTTTTGTTGGGGACACAAGTTCCTATGCTTAACAAAGTATTCTGTTTAGCCATATACCACAAGAATATTAAAATATGGCCTTATAAACTCACTGGATAATGTCCACCTGTATACGGTTTTGCTAATATCTTTTTTCATCGCTTTTTTTATCATTACTGCTAAATTAATAAATTTTCTCATTGACATGCGGAAAAGCTTAGAGACTTGAAAGTTATCATAGCTACAAAGCCATGGTTACATCATAAAAACTATTTTCTGAAAAAAAAAACATTTCTCCCTTTAATGTTATGAAAGGTTTCTTTTTTAAACTTGCCTTACACTGTTGTAGACGAAAAAGCACCGTGTGTGATAATAAAAATAATCAGAAATTATATACGACTTGCAACAAAACCGCGGTTAAAACCAACGCGTTCAAGCGATTCGAGTAACTGACTTCATCAACCCGTTGTCATCTTAAACCATATTACAACCGCGGTACATAACACAGAAATTTTGGTTATTCGCTTGGATTTGATTTAGCTATCCGTATTGTGACAATTTGAGGAGTTGGTTGTTGCGCGTATTCAAATGATGAATCAATTTCATGAGTTTTGTACCTGGTCCTTTAGAGATATGACAAACATCATTCTAAAAAGAAATAGGAGTGCTAATTTTCGGGAGTACAGTTTTCTTGAATCCTATATTTCAGACGTATGGCTTGCGGAACTCACGGAATTGATCATGTTACAAAATAACGTTTAAACGCCCCAATCTCTCAGTCGTATATACATGATAAGATTCTAGTTAAAACTTTCACATTTTCAGATACTTCCTGGATAATCAATGGTTTAAACGACAAGAATAAGTATATATTTAAAGTATATGCACGGAATGCCTATGGTTGGAGCAATGCGAGCGAAAAAAGTAGTGAATTTGATCTAACTGCAGCAAGAATAGCAGAAAGCAAAACGTCGATAAACATAATTATTGTAGCTATTGTCGTACCTATTTGTATGTGCATCATAGTCATTGTTGCCTTCTCCATTGGTAAGTTCATCTGCTTATATTTAGATGTGATATGCTCAATTCAAAGCAAATAAAACTAAGTACCCGCATATGTCCATTTTTTCATATCGAAGCGGCCACGCAGGCAAAAATCTACATGCCAGGGCTCTGCGGCTAATATAAGGAGCTTAAAGAAACTTTGTTAATCCGCTTTTTGCTCGTCAAGGTACAGTACTGTGGTTTGGAAACATTAAACTATACAATATTGTTGCGACCTCAAGAAGTCATAACGTCCAGGTCTATGTTGTGTGACTCAGTGGACTACACAGTGGAGCAAGTTCGTAAGCATTCAAGGCCACAGCTCGCACTGTAATCAAAAGGTAGCGCGAACTTTTAGTAGACTTTTACACACTAACAAAGCCGAATCAAAATTTGTTTAGTTCACCTTAAAATTAATCCGTGTACCAAGTCAAAAAACCTAGGTGTTTTCTCTTAAAATAAACTTGGCTCTTTGCTCTTCTCCTTTTTTCTTCTCTTTCCCTTTCTCTTTTTCCTTGACATTGTCTGGTTTCTGGGCAACCAGGACTGGCAGATTCGACTAACGTACATTAGACAATGACTAATGGGCAAAGGTCCTACGGACCGCCCAAACAAACAAATGACGAATAGTGTGTCATTGGGGTTTTGCGGGAGACGTCCATGGTGTAGTTGGCAGCAAAGGTCTTGGCAAGCACTTCCGCCTTGGCTTTTGAGTCGGTAACAATCGTTCCATCCTTTCAATCTGCTTGGCCAGTACCTAGAAAGACCGACCGCCGCCGCTGTGACTAATTTTTGTATCGTGCTGGTCTTTGGCATTGCGGACCGCTTCGTTATGTTTATTTCTGGGCTCGTCGTCGGCTTGTCTGTTCTCTACAGTGGGGTTTTGTGTGCCTTCATATGCCGCCACAGATACTGCTGACGAAAAGTTTCGCACAATTTGTTTGAACCATTTGTTGATGATATAACACGAGTATCGAAACTCTACTACAATCAAATTTTCAGTATTTTGTTCGGGAAGGAGCAAACAGAAAAAGCTACAACAGGTAGGACCAGTTCCTAGATCACCAGATGTTGAACTTGCAACGTTAAGAGAACTACCGAGAAGTTGTGTTCATAACACCAACGTCTTGTATGTTTCTGCGCATCCAACACCTGAAGATCTATCTCTACTACCACATATTAGAAGGTAAAGTAATAAAATAATAATATTTGATAGTAAGTACATACAGAAGTTACATCCTGCAATATTCCGTCACCGTTAACTGTAGTCAACAAGTTTCAGTGAGAATGTCGGGAGTTGCATTAACTCTGAGTGCATGCCAAACTTTTTTATTTTTCTATGCATTTCATCTTTTTAACATTATTCACGGAAACTGTTGCTAGCATAATATTGTCAACTACAAAGAAGTAAACCAGAAAGGGGATGACTCAAGGTCACTCATATTCAGTACTGGTCACCTCATTCAGGTATCTGTAATCTTCATTATGGGTTGGGATCCTGGAAAGACTAAACAGTAATTAAAACCCCATAGCAGATCAATGTTTATACAGAAGTGTCTGATGAGTTCCGGAACCCACCGGTAATTTGTGAACTAATAGTGTTATGAAAAAACAAGCCTTGAGACTGATAGAAGTTTTCCCCAGCTATATATATATAATAGTAGCCTTAGATTTGACCTTGATCATGACCAACAAGGTCATTTGAAGATCAAGTCTATTTTTTTAAATGGAGCCCCCATTTTTGACCCGTAAATGAAAAGAACGGAAAATTTTTCGTTTAAGAATGGTCTTGAACATTCTTAAATTTTGACCTCAAAAGGTCATGATCAAGGTCAAACCCAGGTACGGTGATATAATTTAAAAACCAGTAGTCGTATAGGGAAACTACCGAGGCATTATTTTCATGATTTTGTCCCGGATATCCAATGGTGACCTTAGATCTGACCTTAATCATGATAACCTTCAAGGTCATAAGAATATCAAGTCGATTTTTGTATCCAGGGAAAAATACTGGGGTAAACTTGTATCTGACCTTGATGGTAAAGTCCAAGGTCAAGTTCGAAAAATAGTTAATAACATATTCTAACATAAAATTGGCTCTTTTCCCCAATTGCGCGGTGAAAAGTATAGGGCCCCAGTAAAAAAGATTCGAAATCCAAATGACCTTCAACGTCATGTTCAAAGTCAGATTCAAGGTCACCGGAGAAAAATCATAAAAATAATGTCTTGGTAGTTACATAATCGTACCAGAGACCTCTTAAGGTCAAAATTTAAGAATGGTCAAGATTATTTAAACGTAAAATTTTCCACTCTTTCCGTTTACGGTGTCAAAATGGGGGGTTCCATTTAAAAAAATTGAATTAACCTTGAAGGTGATCGTCAAAGTGAAATCCAAGGTCACCCCTGATTAGCTGTGAAAACGATCGATCGCAGGACTTTTAGTTCGCAAATTATTGTGAGGTTCTGGAACTTTTCTATAATTGCCTATATTTTTTCAACTTAACGAAAGTAACTGGACAATATGATAATACGCTGAAATTTATATATATACAACACTATCAGTTACGCACTTAGTATGTAATTAGGTATGCCGGTATAATGAAAGGCTTCGTAATTATTTTAGAGATCAAATTACCTTGAACAAGTTCCTGGGAAGTGGGGCTTTTGGTGAAGTGTTCGAAGGAAAAGCAAAAGGGATAGAAAGCGCAACCCCAGAAACCAGAGTAGCTATTAAGGTATTTATCGAAGTAACCCTCAAATATCAAGATTATTTTAACCGAGCCATATATTCTAGACATTGAAGAAAGGTGCCTCAGACCAAGAAAAGAACGAGTTCTTACAAGAAGCTCAATTGATGAGCCATTTCAAGCACGAGCACATTTTGCAATTATTAGGAGTATGTTTGGACAATGATCCTCACTTCATCATAATGGAGCTTATGGAAGGCGGTGACCTACTCTCATATTTGAGAAATTCTAGGCATTCATCGGTAAGTTAAAATTGTTAGTTGTTAATTTATCCAATCAGTTGAGGAAAATGATGCATAAGTAATGCATCATTTTCCCAAGTTTCCATTCCTTGACAGATTTCGATAGCTGGAAGTGACAGAAGAGTTGTTGAAGAGCTTCCGCAAGGAAGAATGCAGCCATCTTTGTTTCGCTACACTCCTCAAAGAGTACATGGCAGGGGTATTGCATATCTTGCAAAGCGATATTATGACGGTTTTTTGACATTCAGTAGGTTTCTAGTAAAATTATTTTGGTATTCCTATAAGATATCAACTTGTAACTAGGTGTTGTTTACATCGTGCACTCGTTGTGTAGCTGTACGTGTTGCCTAAACGTCATGACGCCTGAGCTATCGTTGTTTGGTTCTGATGTGATGTAACATCTGCTTCAGACATGTCATTATTGGAGGTCTAAGCTGTAAGTTTTATACTAACGTATGTCCTAAAAGTTTTGGCACAGAATATTTATCGGATTTTTTTTTATGAAAAACTAGTTATCAGAAATTACAACTCAATACTTAACTAAACTATAATATCGAATTATGTGGAGAGGTCAATTTTGCTCTACGAGATGCAACTTTCTTCGAATCTCTCTCATGAGGTGCTGGACGGAATTCAGATCAATTTCTATCAGTTTTTCGTAAATTCATCATTGTTCTTCATCTTGGTCTTCCATGATAAACCTCCTAGACCGTAGTCGAAGCCAGTTTTGAGTACCTCGTGAGTAATGACATGATGCTAGGGCTGACCAAAATATGATGTGGTCGTTGGCGTGATGTTCGTCGACAAACTGAAGCAATTTGGAAAGGCAATTAATTTCAGCTTTGGGTACCCGCCTAAGCAACTTGTAGATTCTTTTTCTTATTTCTGATTTATACGATTTTTCTTATGCATCCTGGAAATTATACAGGGTGTAAACGTTATGGGAGTCATTATTGGGGGGGGGGTCAAAACAAGTCAAAAAGTTCATATGACCCATGGTCCAAAAGTCAATAGATTTTTGTCTAAATGGCTTTAAAGTTTACAACTGTAAGTGCTTTATATCGACCACAATCACCACAATCTTACTAATTTTTATAATCTAATCTAAAACGTTTTTAAATTAGGTAATTAACAAATAAATGGCATTAAGTTTTTCTAAGTTAAGCAAAAATTTGTGGTCAGTAAGTAAGTAGGTAAGTTTCATTAAATTAAATATTTAAAACACACATGACAACAGCGCGTTGGTCTTTCATCACTCTTATCGAACCGGCAATCGATCGCAAACGGTAACAGTGGTTAGTTATCGTTTTGCATAGATAACTTACTTTATCATTTTGTCGAGCATAGCATCGGGCGTGTTGTTTTGTTTTTGTTCGAGTACGTCGTCGTGTTTATTTACAATGTTCTCGAATCAAGAGTTCGCCGACATGTTGTTAGTTTACGGTGAAGCTCGCCAGAATTCAAACCTTGCATACCATAGTCCATAGAATCCTACGGGAAAGTTTGCTTTATTCCTACCATGTACAACGAGTGCAGGCCTTGTTACCAGAAGGCTATCCTCGCAGACTAACATTCTGTCAGTGGTTTTTGCACAGAAACATTGAAAATCCGGATTTTTCAAAAACATTCTAGCGACGGACGAATGTACTTTTACGCGAGACGGGATATTAAATTTCCATAATACTCACACGTGGGCCCAAGAAAATCCTCATACCATTCATGAAGGTCATTTCCAACAACGTTTTAAAATAAATATTTGGGCGGGTATTCATGACGATCAGGTAATTGGCCCTTTCGAGTTACCCCTAAAGTTATCAGGAGAAGGATACCTTAGCTTTCTAGCCAATAACCTACCAGAACTTTTGGAACAGACCTTAGACAACATGCCATTACAACGGAGACAGATTTTTTGGTTTCTTCATGACGGGGCACCACCACACATTTTTAGAGGCGTCATTCAGTATTTGAATGAACATTATCCAAACCGCTGGATCGGTCGAAATGCTCCTGATCCTCGAAAATAGCCAGCAAGATCTTCTGACCTCAATCCGATGGATTTCTGGTATTGGGGAGAACTTAAAGGGATGGTTTATGGGGCTGGTCCAACAACTGAAGCACAACTTCGCGATAAAAATTTTAAATGCGGCTAAAATAATAAATGGACAACTTCGAGGACCTAGAAGTAAGAAGAAACTGGGTTCGTCGTAATGAAGCTTGTGTGGAAAGTGGAGGACGACATTTTGTTTACCTTCTTTAAATACAAGAAAAGTGCAGTGTGGGTTTTAAAAAGAAAAACAATGTATGTATCCAAATTGTGTTCCCTATTTATAAGTGGTTTTTTTAATACGTTCAATAAACTTTCACAAACCAGGTGAAGCGCTGAGACAGTTAGTGGTAAGTCTATTTCTTTTAATTGTTTGCATTTTACGAGTACATTATCAAATAATGAAATAATACCTAAGATCCAAAGATAACAAACTCCATCTTTATTTACACTGCGTTAAGTCGTAATTTGCGTCTGGCATTGCGTCGTTTTGTCACATTTTATTTTACTTTAAAGTCGTTTTTCTCTAAAAAAATGCGATTTTGGCCCCCTCTTTTAACCTCCTCTATCACCCATTTAAATAATGACTATCATAACGTTTACATTATTTTTTATTTCCAGTTATTTAAATTTTATGGAATTTTATTTTGCGATGTCAAGTATAAAATACAAATTCTATTCCTAATTCCTATCTCGGCATTCTGCAACCAGCACACAATCTGACTTGCAGCATGGTTGATAAGCATGTCGATTAATCTCTCCATAGATGACGCTATGGGTGACGCTCACAGCGCTTAAAGCGACCAAGAGCGGAATGAACTATTGGCACACTATGAGCTATGTAGTCAGCAAGTTGACATTTTGGCGTTTTTTTTAAATACATAGGTTTTCTATGTAATATCCCTCCGGATATTTTGACAACTCTCATGTCACTCCAGCTCTCAAAAATCTCAATGGGCAATGGGAATGATGTCGCATCAAGTGGAGGAGCGTCAATGCAAGGCAGCAAATTTTTAATCCGCAAGAAGAACTAAAAATAATAGACGTATCGCAATAAATACTATTGTCAATATTATACAGTTATTATGGCTATTATTTTCAGAGGGGCACGCCACCTTTAACTCTCATAGAACTGATCAAGATGTGCTTAGATGTAGCGAAAGGTTGTAGATATCTCGAAGAAATGCATTTTGTACATAGAGATCTAGCTTGTCGAAATTGTCTTGTTTCTTCGTATGATAAGGAGCAACGAATTGTAAAAATAGGCGATTTTGGATTAGCCAGAGATATATACAAGAACGATTATTATAGGTAAGTAAACTTATTTACTTATGTTCTTTATAACCTCTTTTTTTGAGCTACAACTGCAATAATTTTTTTGTGTGTTCCTCCATACTGCTTCATGTAAATTGCCATTTACTGACCCAACAAAGATGTTCCTTTTTTTCATCTGTCGATGTGACTCTTAACCTTTTTGGCAACATACCACCATAATCTGAACTCAAAAGAGCACAACTATCAATCGGACGCTCATACATGTTTGGCTTCATGGAATAGAGTGAATAGTGATCGTGTGAACTGTCGACGACCTTCGCGGATTTTCGTTTCAGTTCCCACTCCAGACAAGAGCTACGAAAGGGAGACCTAAGGCATGCCCGAGAACGTAGCTTAAGTGTCCACAAGATTCCTGGCGCTGTTACTGCGACGTAATTACAAATCTGTATCCCAGAGCCAGACTAGGTTAAGCCCACTTCTGTCAAAAATGAGTTTAATATGTTAAGCTTATGATAATATTGTGAATTTTCATTTGCTACATGCAGCATCCATCTATCTGTAATAATAAGAAAGTTACGACTTTTTAACTTTAAGAAAAATATTTCAAATACAATTATCTCAAAACTACTTATTTGGACTTAACCCAGTCTGGCTCTAGGGTACAGAAATATAATAACTGAAACTAATCCTGTGGTTTTCATGTCGATAATCTCCCAGGTTTGTCTGGCCAATGAAACCAAAAATATTTGAAATTCCTCTTTAATGTAGTAAACGTTTTTTCAGTATTTTATTTATCTGTCTTCCTGGTAACACTGGAATGATGGCTTCGCGCAACCTCGGCACTTGGCATGTTACGGACTTCCAGACTACTGTAGTAACACACTGATTCTAAAAACCTCCTTGTAAACGCAAACCTCCATCCGCCAGTACTAAACATGAGCTTCTAACATGAAGGTTCAGTATTGATTTTGATTTGTTCGACTACTTCATATCAAGTTTCCTGAGCCTTTTCCGATAAATACAGGGTGGGCCATTAAGTCAAGCAGATTTTAATAAATCATAGGAAAAACTACAAAGCGTAGGGAAGATCATTTATATTTTTAACAACACATTGGAATTTTATTTTTTTAAAATAACATCATTGTGATGCGAGCAATCGAGACGTACACACTCCTCGAATCTCGACTTCAAATTCGTGGAAACTCGCTGGCACATCGTTCGTAGGATAGCGGACATCTCTGCTTGAGCTGGGCAATCGTCGGCAATTTATTGGCGTAAACGCGGCTCTTGAGGTATCCCAGAGAAAAAACTACAGTGGCATGAGATCTGGCCTCCGGGGAGGCCACAGAATGTCCCCTCGTCGCGATATCAGTTTTACGCTAAACATTTCATTTACAAATGCTTAAGACTCGTTGGCGGTATGGGATGTCGCGCCATCATGTTGAAACGACGTACTGCTATGGTAGGCTTCAAAATTATGCAGTTGTGGAAAGAAAAAGTTATGTAGCATTGCTGTATACCGATTAGAATTTACTGATAGAGTCTGGCCATGCTAGTTTTCGAAGAAACAGAGTCCGATGATTCCTTCAGCCGACATGGCCACCCAAACGGTAACATGACGCTAATGCCAAGGTAATTTTGCTTGTTGACAAATCCACTCAAAGATAATATTGTTCAAACTTGGAAAGAGCTCTAACAGTGTTTCGGCAAACGCACGGCTGGTTCAATTCATGCACTAGTTTATATGGGTGCAATGTAAGGTCTTTTATCAAAATACGCCTTACAGATGTTCTTGATATGGCGAGCTCATCTGATCTCTCTCGGGATGATAACTGTGGATCGCGCTGTAGGGAGTCGCAACTTCGCTTACAGTTTCGTCTGTTCATATTGACATTGGACGCCCCGCAGACTTCTGATTCAGTATCGAACCGGTAAACTAGAATTTTCTGACCCAAGGCCTGATCACACTTTCACTAGGAATTGATTTAAATCATGTAAACTAAACTCAGAGCGAAACAGACTCCGCGCAATAGTGCACGAATCTCCAATGTTGTGATAAGCCTTAACACAGAACGCACGCTGCTCACCGGTGAAACACTCCATAGCGACTAAAGTGACTAAACTTCCGAGCACTAAGCTACTTATCCCCACAACCCTTGTACCGCTCCCACGTGCTTGTCTCGAGCAATGCAATTTTGAAATTCGTACGTCTTTCTTTCTGGAAATTTTAAAAAATTGAACGCGTCATAAATCGTTCTAGCACAACGCTTATTTTGCGTCACTCTCTACATACAATATTTACTTGCTAACACTCAAGAGTGAAAATCAATGAGTGCATGGATTGAAGGAAAAATCAAGACAACTATTTACCGATGATATTTTAAAATATTAACTAGTCTAATCTCCCATATTTCTCTGGCCAATAGAAACAACATCACAAAAAATCTTTATTGTAATTTTTACGGTCACAATGGTGACCTTCAGTACAATGACTAAGGCTCTAGGACAGAAACATTAAACAAGTATGGTTGAACACAAAATTATGAAGATAATTCATGAAATGAAAGAACGAAAATGAACAGGTTTAGACAAAATTAAATCTTACTCATTGAAAAGAATAAACTTTAATATTTACGGTGTAGTTTCATATTTGATTAATTACTGCATGAATAAATTACTATTCCGATCTCATCTGGAAACAGCCGTAATTATGCAAATCTGTCGAAAAATAAATAACATGTAATTACACACCAACTTCTTTACTAATCATTTTCTGCAAAATATTTGGAAAAATTTTGAAAAAGAGGTTTACGGATTTCACTAAGAAATATAACATTATATCTGCCCAACAAATCGGCCTCCAGGAAGGAAAGTCAATAAGATGCGATTATACATTTAACTAATATAATAGATGAAAAAATAGATATAAGTGAACCAACTGCTGGCATTTTTGTTGATCTTGCCAATGCATTCGATACCATCAGCCATAAATCTCTTTTGGTCACTCTAGAGAACTTGGGATTTTTTGAACAAAGACTATCTACATCAACCAAAATTGAAAAGACAGTGAATATTACAAAAATTGACAATGATTATGAAAAACTAAAGAACTTACTCAATGAAAATTGGATTGCAGTATATAACGAACCTAATATCGAAAATGCATTTGTCCTTTTTATATCCAGCATTGAAGGTCATATTGCTGAATGCACCAAAACAGTAAAGATTCCACGAACACAAATAAACAGACAAGCATGGATATCAAAAGGTATTATTACCTCCATCAACAAATAAATAGAATTATATAAGGAAACCAAAAAATATCCTTATGATGTGAATCTTTTGAATGAATTTAAATCATATCGAAACAGACTGACAAAAATAATTAAAGAGGCTAAAATTAAATATCTCCAAGAAGAGTTTGATAATCTACAAAACTGTTCGTCCAAAATGTGTGAATTTATCAATAAAATACAAGGCAAAAAACAAAACAACAAAATTAGTACAATTAAAATGGTGAACTAGTGGGTAATAATGTAGATTTAGCAAATTAATGTTCCGAATATTTCTCAAAAATTGGGAAAAGGTTGTCATAAAACATAAAAACCGCGGAAAAATTAAATTAGAGTAAGGCCATATTATATAACTCTTTATATCTGGAACCGACCGATACGCATGAAATAAAGACAATAATCAAAGAATTGAAATTAAGAAAATCACCAGGTCTAGATAATATAACAGCATATACTGTCATATGTGATAAATTCTTGTATGAATAAAGGAATATTCCCTACATATTTAAAACACGCTATGGTAAAACCGTTATTTGAATCTGGAGAAACAGAAAGACTCATCAAATAATACCTGCATTATTAAACGTTGGGTAACATTTGTATTTTTTCATTCTCATGTGGACCCAAGCACAACTTGTTTGGCTATTTTAGGTTTATTGTAACATAACGATTTGGTGTACATTATTCCAATAAACATTATTATTATAAACGCCCACGTGCCAGATGTTTTCCGATATTCTAGAACTTCAAAAATCTCGGGGTAATAAATGAACTTTACATATTTTCAGGAAAGAAGGTGAAGGCCTTCTACCAGTAAGGTGGATGTCTCCAGAATCTCTGGTAGACGGAGTATTTACTAGTCAATCAGATGTTTGGGCATTTGGCGTGCTGCTGTGGGAAATTATGACCCTAGGTCAGCAACCCTATCCCGCCAGAACAAATCTAGAAGTCTTACATTATGTTAGAAGAGGAGGTAGATTAGGAAAGCCTACAGATTGCCCCGAAGATTTGTAAGTTTAAGATAAACTGCAATTAAATGATATTTATGTATATAATAGCGTATAAACAATAATCATATACTGTTCTGGTTCTTGTAAGATATATGTCATCTATGATACATTGTTTCCTTTTTCAGGCATAACCTCATGTTGAGATGTTGGGAGTTTGAGCCCGAAAAGAGGCCAACTTTCAAGTACTGTTTAGCAGAGTTGCAAAAATTGCACTGCAATACTTTGAGTAATCCTTCTACTGCAGCTCATAATGGGCACTACATCAGTACCGTCCTAGAGGGTAAGTCTACTAAAATATCACACATACTGAAATATGATGAAAATTGTGCATTTGATTCGCTTTTTGCATGCTTTACTCACGAAATATTGAAATATAAAGTCTTTGGAAGAATGGAAAGAATGAAAAAAATGCAAATTTTTGTAATCTGGCCATCCTCAGTTCGTGATTTGTCAAAGCCAGCCTTGCTTTTCTAGAAGCTAGACTTGATTATTCAATGATCAAACATATGTTTAAATACAGTCCCGAAATATTTTTTACATATATATTCGCATCCTTTATTCACGAAACTTTGGATAAAAAATCGTTTTTTAATTATCATTGGAAGAAAGGAACGGATGAACAAATCGCAAATTTTCGTTTTTTCTTATATCGAAGCAGCCGCGCAGGTAGAAGCCTAAATGCCGGAACACCGCGGCTGCTATGATGATCACAAAGAAATTTTGTTAATACGATTTTTGAATTGCCTAAGGTTAGTAGAACTGGGAAAAGCTTCCTCTTGTAGACTGTTCCACAATATCGACAGTCTCGGGACAAAGGAGCGGTCGTATCGGCCAGTTCTGGAAGTACGAAGTTCGACACGGTTAGGATGGGACGCCAAAGTCAGGCGGATCTGTCTGGCAGGCACATTGCGCGGCGGCATCATTGAAGAGATCTCTGAGGAGCAAAGCCGGTTGGTGTAGCGATAGAAAAGAGCTAGATCGCCGACGGCCCGCCGGTGCGAAAGAGTCCCGAGACTGTCTGTTAGAGAAGAGTCATCGATCAGTCGGCCCTCCTTCTTCTGGACAGCATCGAGCATGGCGGCAGCACCCCAAACGTGTGAGCAATAATCGAGGCTAGGCCTTATCTGGGCCTTGTATAGAGTGAGAAGGTCATGCGGAGAAAAATACTTCTTAGCCCTAAATAAATAGCCTAGCTTTTTACGAGATGTGTTCGTGCCAGATCAGATCCTCGGTGATCTGGACTCCTACCAGCCGAAACGAATGACTCTTTGGCAGAACTCGGCCGTCCATCGAAACTGGATGAGCGCTAGGACGCTTTTTGTTCGTCAAAGTACAGTACTGTGTTTTGGAAGCATTGAACTGTACAAGATTGTTGCGTCCCCAAGCAGTGATAGACAGGACTCTTGTCAGAGAGGAAGTCGTCGCTAGTCTTCTTTTCTCCACCTCAGCGGCAGAGATCGGCTTGTCACTCTGAATTTCTGCATTTAGAGTGCTGTCATCAGCGAAGCTGTGGATTGGGTTGATCGTGCAGGAAAGTAGGTCGTTGCTATGTAACAGAAACAGTGTTGGAGCCAAAACCGATCCCTGGGGAACACCCGCGTTGACGTTGTGGGATGAAGAGGAGAACCCGTCAATTACGACGGATATCTTGCGGCCAGAGATAAAGTCAGCCACCCATCTGCAAAGCTTTTCTGGGAGGCCATAGGATGGAAGTTTGCTTAAGAGGGCAGCGTGCCACAGCTAATCGAACGCTTTCGTAATGTCAAGAGCAACGACATGAGCCTCACCATAAGACTGGATGAGTTTACTCCACAATTGCGTGACGTAAGGTAGGAGGTCCGCTGTGGATCGTTGGTGCCGGAAACCACACTGCCTGTCACTAATCAAGCTGTGACGTTCCGGCTAGTCCAGAAGCTAGCGATTTATGTACCTCTCCATCACCTTACTTATAACAGAAAGCAGAGCTATAGGCCTGTAGTTGTAAGGGTCGGCCTTAGATCCTTTTTTTGGAATGGGTTGGACATGAGCAAATTTCCAGTTTTCTGGGAAGGTGCCGGATTCATAAGATATCTGGAAGAGTCGTGAAAGAACTGGAGCAAGCTCCGCTGCACACCTCTTCAGTACAATGGCAGGAATCAAGTCCGGACCAGAAGCTTTGTTGATGTCGAGCGACAAGAGCACTCGTCTTACGGTCTTATGCCTGAACGTTACCTCCCGCATAGTGTAGTGAACCCTTTGAATTGACGGCACTTGGGCGTTGGGGGGACGTCCATGGTGGAGTTGGCAGCAAAGATCTTGACTAGCACTTCCGCCTAGGCCTTTGAGTCGAATACAATAGTTCCATCCTGACGCGTAAGCGGTGGAAGGCTACTGTGTGAGAAGTTCTTTTCAATCTGCTTGGCCAGCGTCCAGAAAGACCGCTAGCCATTGCACTGCGACATTACCATGTGCCTAAATTTTATATCGTTCTGGTTTTTGGCGTTGCGAACCGCTTCGTTATATTTGTTTCTGGACTCGACTTCGGCTTGTCTGTTCTCTACAGTGGGATTTTGTAAGAAGGTTCTGTGTGCCTTGATCTTCTGCTGGCGAGCAGTCTCACACGATTTGTTAAACCAGCCGATGGACCCTGGTTTAGGCCCTTTCACTGTGTGAAGGATGTATTCCTCCACTCCGACGTGGATAATTTCTGTTATCGAAGAACAGACAGCCGACGTATCCGCGTCAGTGAAACAGACATCTCTCCAAGGAAAGCTAGAGAAGAAGTCTCTGAGCCCCTCCCAGTCGGCATGTCCGTAATGCCAAGTTTTGCGGCCTGTACGAGTTTCTGCTGCCAGAGCGGGTTCTGACCGAAACCTAACCTCCACAACACCGTGGGGGGACAGGACAGCAGTGCTGTAAGGGTCAGGATGCGTGGTCAGAAAGAGATCCAGCAGGCTACTGAGAGCTAAGAGTGATCGCTTCGACTGCACGACCTGCTGCTTCGTCTTGTTTGAGCCCAACCAAAGCTCATTATGGGCATTGACATCACCGAGAAAAACTAGCTCTGAAGCAGGGTGATTGATGTTCAGGAAGTCGATCTGGACGGCGAGGTATTCGATTAGGTCACCCCAGTTATGGTCTGAGGGAGAGCGATAAAGGCAGCAAATAAATTTGGGTGATGTTTTGGAGTTGAGGCGAATCCACGCAATGTCCTTCCGGTCTGATTCTAAAGAAACATCTCTGGAGCAGGAAAGACTGCTGCGGACAAAAGCCAGAACTCCCCCGTTCTTTCTCACATTGGAGTGCACCTCGTAGTTTGGGAAGTTGAGATGATTAGTCGGTGCAGACTCTGAGATTTTTGTCTCCGCCAAGAAAAGCACGGCGGGACGATTGGATTGCAGGTAGTGATGAATAGCATCAATGTTGCTTTTAATCCCGCAGATGTTCGAAAAACAAAATTTGTCTTCGTTGTTGTTCCCTCGAGCCCACCCTCCACCCGGACATTCCGAGAGTGGAGTGAGTTTACGCCCGGAGTTCTGAGTGCTCGAGGGATCCATCATCATTAATTTCTTTGTTTTGGAAGATAACCGACTGCATAGCTTAGGTGTGGAAACATGCGGACATTCATAAGGCTCCCTGCGAAAAGCTAGCGGGTGGCACCGCCTCGGTCGACTGGTCCTTGTCTACCGCCTTCTTTTTACGTGTTAGTGATATCAAATAGACCTAAAGTGGCCCGTTGGCGGACTTGTACAGCCACCCGGCAATCGGTACTGAGGTATTCCTTAACGCGTGTACAATCACTTGAACAGGAAGAAGTTGTATACTGGATACAACAACTTCCGGAACAAGCATTTACCACGCCCCCGCTCAGTAGGGGTTAACTACTTAAACCATTGTCTGACGACCATTGTGGATCATGAGACTATTTGTTATTTTATTACTACCCCATCAGTTTGTTGTTTGTGAAATTCAGGCCTGCTTTTCCAGAAGCCAAACTTGGTTAGTCGGTAATCGAACATATTCATGTTTAAATACAGTTCCTGCAATATAGCTTATTTATATAAATATGACCATAATTTCAACGAAACACAACAAGCATACCTAAATCGCAAACAAGTTCAACCTAATTACTGATCTAAAAAACGGCAGTCCCATATTTTGAAGTTAGCAAACAATACCAGGGTAAAACGGGGAGAGTATTATTAAATTCTGAGAGGTATATCTGTCTGATGCAAAAAGTGTGTGTCATGAGTCATAAAGCATGCTTACGGTTCGCATGGTCTACATCTCATTTAATGCTTTTCAGCTGCTTTCACTGATGGGATATGCAATGCCATATATTTCCAAGATGAAAACCATAACAGTTCAGGTAATAAACTTACTATCTTAACCCTTATTTGCATGTACAACAGCCCATATGTTTACTAATCTACACTAATTTCTTATGTGAAAACGAATTTCCAACTTTTTTATTGTGCTGTATAAATAAACTATTTTATTTAACCTGTATACATAATTCGTTATAGCATAATACTCACTTATACATAAATAAATTCATTAGACTCCCTTCAATAAAAAATTAATTGAAAAAACTGGAACTATGAAGGACAAAAATATATAGACAAAGCAAAACAATTATAGAAAAAAGTTCATTGAATTATAGAAAACCAACCATGTTTATGTTAATATTTTGTAGCATAACCATTATAAAGTTCATCCTTGTTTGAATAATTTTTATCTCGTATTTGCTTATCTAAGTAGTCCCATAGATTTTCAATGGGGCTTATATCGAATTTCTTTGCGAGATTTGAATTGTGCTTCCGGTCATTATCTTGCTGGAAGATTGATCTTAAGGGTATATTGTCTTCCATATAGGGTAACATGACATGCTTTAGTATGTCTATGTATACAAACTTATCCGTAATGCCATCTATTCTATGTAAAGGTCCCATCCCAAACCCCGAAAAGTACCCCCAAACCATATTAAACTAACTGATCTAGCATTTAGTTTTCAAGGCCGGCCACTTCTCTTAGAGGCTTCCAAGGTACCTTGTTGTTTATATTTGTTCAATATTGCTTCAGCTTCAAATTTTTGGCAATGTTGACTTGACGTTGACCATCTTTGTATAACTCAATGATCTTAATTTTCACATCGAAAGAAATTTCTGGACCACGCGGCATGGTCTTAAAATCGCTCAACTTATTCCACAATAGATGATGAACACAAACTAATCCTCTTCTGACACGAAACTGTACTAAACTAATGTTGAAAAGAATTTGTATACATATTTTTGTCCCTCATAAAAAAGTGCTTATATTCTGACTTGCATTGTGTTGATTGCAGATAATGTAAAAACAAGGAATTTAGTTTTTCTACTAATAACGCATTTGTTTATGGAGCAATGAAGTACGATTCGTTTTCTAAAGGTATTTAGGTAAATGTTCATATCTGTCTATATACTTTTGCCCATTACTGTATTTACTGGGTAGTTCCGTAGTGTTGTCGTACTTTGGCGCGCGGACGGAATAGGTTGTCAAAAAACTATTAGCATTCTGACAGAACGATTTTTATGGCAATGAATGACAAATATCCTTTGCTTAAAACAGTTCGAGTTGAAAAACAGTTTTTAGCCTCTACGTCCCTGACTGGCGATTAATCACCTGTCGTACTGTCTTATTTGTCATTATGTAACTTCAGTAACCTCTGTGCCGATTTTGTCAAAACATGGTATATATATACTGTATGGTCACAAGTTTGAAAATGGATGTAAGGGCGATGAGTTGAGTAAAAACATTTTTTTTTTAAATTCTCTTGTCTGTAGTTAGGTGAACAACTGAAATAAATGCCACTGCATTAGTAACTTTCCTAAACAAATCTATGGATCAAACTAGTAATATAGCTTTCGTCCGTCCAACCTCAGACGGCCAACCACGGACGACTAGCAGTTTCGTGCTAATTGACAACTCATCAGCATGGTGTAGGCTTGATCTCAGTTCGGACAATGAACGAAAGCTTAGTAGCTGTCCATAGTATAAGTTCTATCGTGTGAGAGAATAATAGCTCTTGTTGTGTACTTTGAACCCTGAACAGCACATCAATGCACTTCTTCAACTTTTCATGGAAAATTTTTTCCCCTAGATTTCAGGGAGTAGAGCGTACCGTACGCGACAGGCTTCTTTCTTTGGAGCTGGCGTGTAAAACCGTTTGCCACTACTTTTTGATAACTGTTTATAATAGCTCTTGATGTGTGCTTTGAACCCTGAAAAATACATCAACGCCCCTCTTCAACTTTTCACGAAAAAAAAAATGAGATGAAAATAATGAAGATATGATTGTGAGACGAAGGAATGGAAATTACTTCCACATAAATCATTTGGTTGCATCTATTCGCAGGTAACTGTCTCAAAGGCAGCTCCGAGGATGAATCCAGCAGGGAGAAAACTCCGTTCCTTGCAGAGGGCAACTCTCAAACAGAATCAAAGACACCTAAGTACTTGGAACTTGTCTACGAGCCCGAAAATGATGGTTACGAAATCCCGAATGATATCATCAACCAGGAACCTACCGAAAGTACAAAAAATGTTGCTAAATGTTCCTATTCAATTTTAACCAGAAGCGATGGCTCGACTGACTGTGAAGTCCCAGAGACTGCTTCTTTAAAATAGGTTTATTTATTATAGCTATTTATAGTTGGTTGTAAAAAGTGTATAATTTTTAAGCGGATCTGATTGATTTTTATCCAAATATATATTTATATTTGTATGAGGCTGTTTAGATAATTCTTGCTGTCATCCATAAAGATAGCTTCTGGTTATGTATGTTTCATATCTAATGTTCAAGAAAAATAGTCCATATTATTTTGGATAGCAATTAGTTAACTAAGAGTGGAAAGATGAGTGTATACCAGCCTTAATATCCTTCACGAATACGGTGAGTTGATACGAACGATTGCTAAAAAGTAACTGTTCACATTCGTAAGAGCGATCCACTTTAATTATACGTGGTGTGGCAATTAATAATTTGTCAATTTAATGAAAACCAATAAATTTCGGACAAAATTTTGTAATAAATCACACAAAGCCTCTCGCTAATTCTACGCAATAAATCCAATGTTGCTTATACAATTGAAGGCACACTTGGTACTCTTGGGAGATAAATCCTTCAGCACCATAGTTATATCCTTGACTTTTTCAATATGATGCATTCCCTTAAAATGGTATATAGCGTTGGTTCAATATCCAGACTATACGGTGAGTCCGGCAACGTTGGAAGGCCTTTTTGCACAATGAACGAGTAATGAGTGAGAACTTTTGGCACCATCTTTATAAAAGTCTATGACATACCTATTCAAGTTCCTCAAGTAGCATCTTGTTAATTTTGAACAAGTAAAATAGCGCAGTGACCCAAATGGTCGACATTTGTACTGGGTGTCCCAATATTCCGTGGACATAGAAGTACCACGTGTTTTTAGATTCAAAATAATTCGACTATACATCATTCACCTCTATGCAAAAGTGCTTCTCTTGTCCATTAGAGGGTTTGACATTTTTTCAGATATTTTGGAAGTAATAGTCCGATTTGAATGAAACTTGGAACACATGTGCTTTGCTAGACGTCCTAATATTTGACTTTTACAAAAACCCGAAAGGGTTCGAGAATGGGGAAAACTACCCCCACCACTACATAAATTATAGCAGAATTTTTTTCGCCGTATTTTTACGTGTAGGAACGAAAAAGGGGGTCATGTTGAACACCTTTTATGAAAGATTCCCACTATTGCCTGGACTAAATAAAATTGTAATAAGTAATATCATACTTCTTTATATATTTTTGCTAACTACACCCAAATAATGAATAAGACGCTTGAAAACTCCTTGATACAAACCTTTTTTCCTCGAAAACTAACCGAGATGGCCTGTTTTTACAGGAGACAAAAAATTAACTAAATAACAGGACCTGAAAAAAAATCGAAGTCGTCGGGAAAGTTGCCCAAACATTTTGCCAATTTATATAGGGGTGGTTCCCGAGATCTGTGTTTGTCATTGTCTGTCATTGGGGACTCTTGGTTAAAAAGTTAGTTATTCTGTTGGCCCGAACATCCAGAAACCAGACAAAATTGAAGGAAACGAAAGAAAGAAACAAGAATAATATAATAATTATAACAGTTAGACTAGAATTCAAAACAAATAATTCATGTTCAATTAAAATGAAAAAAGAGGAGAGCAACCAGTTAAAACAACAACCATTAGAATTTTTAATGCAGAACTCCCGAGTTATCGCTGAATTCCGGGAACTCAACTACCATATACCACGTATTTCGCGTCTAAATATCTTATGTTAATTTCGGACTCTACCGGCCAAAAAATGCTAGGACATAGTTGATAAATCTCAATTACGAATGTGAAGAGGCAAAAGTGGTGCAGTTGTTTTTTACCACTCTAAAAGGGCTGGTGCTGCGGTATTTCTTAGCATGAAACAAGAAAAGTGCGTCTGCATCGACAATACATCACCTCTTTTAACTCTCCTTGCCCATTGAACATTTTCTGTCGTGTCATTTTCTTCTTTTCACAATAATTGTTGTCACGTAAGACATAAGTTTTTTTTCATTCATTCTGTGACCATGAAGTCAACGGCAGCTAGTTCTTAGTTGACTTCTTGTTGGAAAACCTACATAATGTCATAAAAACCTAAGTGTCACTTTCCAAGTTACATATTACCCCTGTGGACACCTTAACCAAGATTCGGAACAATTTATTCATTTCTCTGTTCACGCCATGCTCCCCGAGCGACAGGACCTCAGACAATTGTTTTATTGTTCGGTACGTTTACATAGCTCTTTGCCAAGAGTTGGCGCAGCACCAATACTAGACCTTAGCCGCAATCGAAGCCACTACAGTTACTGGAGATACATCGTATAGAACAAACAAAAAATAGGAATATCTGATGTTTTGTGGCTAGCACAGTACGGTGTAAACACGGCAAATACCATCTTCCTCGGCCTCCCCTACTGACCGCTTCAGGATATGATTAAATCAAAGAGTGTTATACCAATTTATACCATTTACCTTGGGTTTAGCCTGCATTATTGATTTACGACGAATACATCGATCTATGGGAGAACCGACCTTGTTCTGGACGTACTCTAATAGATGGCTGGGCATCCTCCAAGGAAGCGCCCTTTGTATGGCGATTCGCTCATAGATGGCTCAACATCTACCTAGGCGATGTTGCCAAAGTGACCGAAAATAGTTATAAAATGGTATATTTATACTGAGCTGAATAAACCACAGTTATTTGCCCGGTTTTGGCGGCTATATTATAACATCACGCGAAATTAGTAACTAAATTGGCTTAACTGTACCACTTGCAGAACTGACCCTCCCTAGGGAAATTGCACACAGCCCAAGCCTATCCCTAATCTAGCTTTTTTATACTTGAACCACCACGAAGACCCATGGGAACCGTGCGGCTATAGGGGGATACAGAGGACGCCGCACGGACTCCTACCTGGAAGCGTCTACCACCAAGGACCGTATCGTCAGTCGTTCTTACAATTGTAGGACGTCTTTAGGGCCTCCTTGATTTTCATAGTTTTCTTTCTTCCATGTGAACGCTCCACTTTGAGGTTTTGTTGTTATTTAGAAGTACGAATCATACGGATTTGAAGAATTTCAAGTAGTTGCGTGAAATTATCGTCGCATTACCAACAAGCGCCAAAACCTACATTTTGCTTCGTCTTTCGGCCGTAACATTTTTGCTATTAGTCAGATCTTTTTACGTGTGCAATCATTTTGTAGGTCTCATAAATACCTAAAAATCTTATTTGAAAAGTGATGTCGTTCCTGTAAACACTCGGTTGAATCCCAAAAAACACGTTTTCTCATTCTTTGTTGTCGAATAAAAAGTTTTCTCAAAAAAATTGGTGTACCCATTGTTTGCACCAATAAAACCAGACTTTACCATTATTTCCAAAATAGATTAGGTATTTGACTCATGTAATAACTAAGCAAGCATTTAAGTATACTATTTGCTATGGAATCCATTGGTTGACCTGAGGAATTATTAAATTGCCGGATATCTTTTTTGATCGCTGTGATGGATATACTTGCATATTATGTACCATATGCATTGGATGAAAAATAAATTTCATAGACTGCAAATATCCCAATCATGGAGGAATGTCCAAACCAAAATATATTTGAACAAAAAATCCGTCGCTACAATAAACGATGCACTAATTCATTCAAAAAGGCAAACCGCAAATTAGGTAACACCGCATTTATCTCTGACCAAACAAGAACTTGTGATTAGACGCCACCAGCTGTTTTGTGGTTACTTATCTATCTCTCTCTAATTTTATTCGTCTTGTCTGTCTTCTCTTGGTATAACTACTATTTGATTAAACTATATTTATTTAAGTAGTAATACATATCATTGATCCAGTATTTAATTTCTTCTGATTTGTAAATAGTTTCTTGTATATAACATATAGTATAAGATACGTTGTACCTCTCTGATGTTTTTTCTTCAATAAGTGCAGCAATTGTAACAAAATATTTGAATAAAATAAAGATGACATTAATGCATTTCTCTTATTTGTTGAATGGGATCAAACTAACAAAAGTCTCTTGAATATTCAAGAGATATTATTATAAATAAAAGAAGAGTTGAGGAAAAGCTATAAGCTCTAAACAGAGACAAGAAATTAAACATAGAAAAAATAATCAAAAGCAAACTAGGGTTCATCGTGCACCCAACTGTCGAAACGGTTCTTGAACCCGTTAACTGTGGATGCATTAACAACGTCGTAATGCAGCCTGTTCCAGGTGTCAAACATTCTGTTAGACAGGAAAAATTGGCGGAGTGTAGTTTTAAGCTTCTCTTTCATTAGTTTGTAATTGTGGCCTCTCAGCTGGTTGGGAGACGAAGACGTCAGTGCCGAAGACACCATGCAGAGGTCTGTATTTGACTATCAAGTCCCCTCGTAAGCGTCTATCGGAGATGCGAGTTAAGCTGAATAGGTTCAGTCCCTCTTCATGACAAGGTCGTTGGATACCGTACGGGATGCGTGTTTCCCTCCTCTGAATGTTTTCCAGCAGGTCTCGATCACGTGGTAGCGTTGGATACCAAACAGGTCCAGCAAATTCCAGAAGTAGAATTGTCACAACCCCTTAAGGATCTTTCAATAAGGTATAGACTCCTTTTGGCCTTAGCCGTCGGGTATTGGGTATGCTCGGACCACGATAGACTATCAGATACAACTCCTAAGTCTATGTGACTGGAGACAAAGCAGATGTCCTGGTTCCCGATGATATAGTTGATCTTACGACATTGCCAAGGTCGAGTTGAAGGATGCTATTATAGGCACTGGGGATATTGTATATCTTTGTGTCGTCAGCATACAAGGAGCAGATGGAAGGATGATACAAGGCAGGTCCGATGTGTATAGGAGAAACAAGACGGAATCCTGGGGAACGCCGCTAGTCACCATCCTACTGGTTGATAGTCAATCGCCTACCCTCACCTTGAACTCTCTGTTGCTAAGGAAAGCCCTTATCCACTTCAACAGGTTTCCAGTTATTCCCAGGCATTCCAGCTTGTAGAGGTGTGCGTGGGGTACTCGATCGAACGGTCTTGAAAAATCCAGGTATATTACATCTACACGAAATATCTATCGTAGTAGTAAAGTCGTTGACACATTTGAGCAGGTTTTTGATGATAGAACGACTTGGCAAGAAACCATGTTGATTGGCTGGTAAGATATCTGCCGCAGCAAACTTGAGCATTTCACCAGGTATGATTTTTCGGCCGCTTTAGCAATTATTATGGGAGTGAGACTGATGGGAGGATAGTTTTTTGCATTGTACTTATAACCTTTCTTGAAATTTTGCGTAACTGTTGCTTTAAGCCAGCAATGAGTTAGTGAATGAGGATGAAAATATCACACTTAAAGGTGAAGCAAGAGTAGAGGCACACCTTTTGAGGGTCATTGCTGAAATACTGTCACCGCCTGGTGCAGTACAGCAATCCAGGTTGATGAGATGATCTTGAATTAAGTCAGGAGTGAACCCAATTTGACATAGGCTGATATTTGGTGTAGGATAGATATTAGAAGGTGTACCAGCACTGCAGATGTGATCTAGGTCGCGCACCTTGGGTGTAGAAACTTTTGAACTCAAAAGGTGAAGATCGAATATATCTGAATAGCATTTTTCTGTTTTTCGATGATACCAGCTTATTTTCAAATTGGCGTTTAACAGCTTTCAGTGTCTCCAAGTGTTTTAGAGAAGTTTCGATGATTCAAAGTCTGTCTGGCAGGCTCATCGCGCGGCGGCATCATGGAAGAGACCTCTGAGGAGCAAAGCCCGTTGGTGTAGCGGTAGAAAAGAGCTAGATCGCCGACGGCCTGCCGGTGGGAAAGGGTCCGCCCTCTGCTCAGCATCGAGCATAAATAATGTAGTCGGGGCGGCAGCACCCCAAACGTGTGAGCAATACTCGAGGCTAGGCCTGATCTGGGCCTGGTATAGAGTGAGAAGGTCAGACGGGGAAAAGTACTTCTTAGCCCTAAACAAATAGCGTAGCTTTTCCCAGCAGCTGCCGCTATTGACGAGATGTGTTCGTGCCACATCAGGTCATCGGTGATCTGGACTCCGACCAGCCAAAATGAATGGCTCTTTGGCAGAACAAAGGCCGTCCATCCAAACCGGATGAGCGGTAGGACGCTTTTTGTTCGTCAAAGTACAGTACTGTGTTTTGGAAGCATTACACTGTACAAGATTGTTGCGTCCCCAAGCAGTGATAACCTCCAAGTCTCGCGTCAGAGAGGAAGTCATCGCTAGTCTTCTTTTTTCCAGCTCAGCGGTAGAGATCGGCTTGTCACTGTACTGATCGTTGATATGTAAGATGAGCAGTGTCGGAGCCAAGACCGATCCCTGTGGAGCACCCGCGTTGACGTTGTGGGATGAAGAGAACCCGTCAATTACGACGGATATCTTGCGGCCAGAAATAAAGTCAGCCACCCTTCTGCAAAGGCTGGAAGTTTGCTTAACAGGGCAGCGTGCCACAGCTGATCGAACGCTTTCGTGATGTCAAGAGCAACGCCATGAGCCTCACCATAAGACTGGATGAGTTTACTCCAGATCTCATTTTTAGGTATTTTATACATTATATTAAGGAAGTGTTAATAACAAACATACACATTTTCAATAGTTTATTTTTACTTAGAAAATAGTAAATTGCCTGTATTGATAATAAAAAACACTGTATTACAATTTTAGAGACTGAAGAAGATAACTTCTTGTGTAGTTATCCTTTCAAATGATTGGAAATAATTTCTTCGCTGTAAAATGACACCATTTTGAAGAAAAGAGTATGCAAAAACATTTACCCAAAGCCAATCACCGCGTCTGAGACTAACACTGCAATTTCTAAATAATAATGTAATAATCACTGTGAGAAATCTTTGGGGTGAAACAACAAACTGAACTAAAATCGAGTGACTGGACATACATTTGAAATACTCTTGAAAATTAGCTTACTCCAGTAATATCGCTATCATACAGGCTCAGCCTTAACTTTAACTTCCTCTTCTTCTTCCTCTTGTTTGACATCATCATCCAAAACTTCATCTTTGCTGTTCTCGTGCAACAAGACGTACTCCCTCGAACTAAAGCCAAATTTGATGACATCTCTCTCCAACAGTTCAATATATTTTTTTGGCTCAATTTTCTTGTTATTTATAAAAGTACCATTCGCCGACTCTAGGTCTATGAGGTAAGGGCGAACTCTCTTTCCTGGAATTGAAATGAACAAACATTTTCATTGTAGTAGAGAAGTAATACCCATGTGACTAGAATTAGTTTAGGTTATGGTGATTAATAATAATATACCGGGTGTTTCAAATTCGACCCTCACCCGATCTCAGAAACGGTAATAGATACGAAGTCGCTTAAACGAGGGCAAAGTCGCGTATTTTTTTATTTTTTGGAAAGTTTCGAAATTAGTAGTACTTCCGGAGAGAGACAGAAAAAAGAATGTTCCCAAAATCGTTTTAAATTTTACTAAAATTTTAACTTTTAGTCCTCTATAAGATAGCATCATTAGAATTTCAATATAACATTTCGTCTCTTGTCCTCCAGCATCAAGTTTATTTTTTCTTAAGGACGCCACATTGGATTTGTGCACGGGTATCCTGTTTTGACTTCCATCACCTATTTTGTTTTTCATATGGACGCTATATTGGAATTTTGTACATTTAAATAGTGTTTTAAGTCCTAAATTCAGTGATGTATTTCCTTTGCTGGCCATGCTTTTGTTGTTCGGACGAAAATTATAAGGAAATAAAAAGGTTTGATCAATTAATGCAAATGGAGCTTATGACAGTTTGAAAACTGAACATAGTAGCAGAGTTTTTGGGAGTCTGAGAGGAATGGGAAATAAACCGAACAGTGAACAACGTACAGAGAAGAGTCAGGCTTTGCCTAAAAAAAAGGACAACGTTTTTAACATCTGATATGATTTATTTCAGCTTATTTATGATTATTGTTATTACCGTCATTAAAATTTGGCCAATTAAGTAAATACATCGCTGAATTTAGGACTGATTAATCGATTTTAATATCCAATATAGTGTCCATAAGAAAAAATAAAGTTGGTAGTTGGAAAAAGAAGCCTCGAATTGAAAATTTGACTTACACCATCTTGTAGAGGAGAAAAACTGACAATAATAACATGCAATTTATTTTAAAATCCCGACTCAAAATGAGGAGCAACTTTTCAAAACGTATTTTGTCCAAAAAATATTTTATTCAGTATTAACGAAAAACGATTTTCTGTTAAATCTTGTCATATAATTTTAAGACAGTGAGTTTTTTTGACAGAAACTAATACATAGACGTAATAAGTTACCTCATTTAAATCAAAATTTATCAGAAAAAGTGAGGAAATCTGAAAAATGTTTGGACTTAATGCGCTTTGTTTCGTCACAATGTATAAAATTCGTTTTGTTGCGGTTAAAATTGGACATAATGCTATTTGTTGCAATTTATTGGTTTGGGAACATATTATTTTGTTTTTATTTAATTTATTCGGAACATACAAACATAAATAGTAATGTTAATAATACTTATATCAAGCACACGTAAAAAAAGTCAAATTTGTTCCTCGGTAGGATCTTCTTCGAGGCAGTCGCACATGGACGTTTGTTCAGTTACATCTTTGGCGGGATCTGTAATTTCAGTGTCTGGATTTGCACTTTCAGCGTCTGGTTCTGTCATGGGCTTTAAGGCATGATGAAAAAACAAAAACGACGATAGCGGGATGTCATCTTCCCACTCTTGGCCAAATCTTGCACAAAGCAGCTTCCGCACATCAGTTCTTTTATCTTCCTTGACTTTATTTACCAATGGTAGGTTGCAGCGATTCTGCATATCCCTTGAGAAAGCATGACCCCGTTTTGTTATCGACATTAGCTGCTTCGAAGTGTCGTCGAATATGTAGGTGGGCGCAAGTTTCATTTTAACATCAACGTAGCCTTTTTTTAAAATTTTTTGTAAAACGATCCTCTTCATGTCACTTATTCCATCGATTGGTTTTAGTATCTCTTTTAAGTCTTTGTAATTTTTGATAAACCAATCTTCGCCTAGTACTCTGATAGTCCCGTATTCTTTGTAAATTTTAATATAAGCTGTGGGGTCCAACACCTCTTCAGTTTTTCGTAGATGTTTTTCAACTCGGCCAAATACCCTGTCAGCAGGTAGGTATGAGTGCCCGCGAACTGGGAAATACATTACTATCTGTTTTATATTGTTTGGAGAGTTTTTCTGTAGCCAGAATGTTAGGGCATGGAGTCATCAATCCGCAATTTATCTAAAAAGTCCATTAAAGCTGAAGAAATTTCTTGAGCACCTCTTGCAGCTTGTGTTTCATTCCAGATATAAAAATGTGGATTTTTAGTTGCAATATCAGTTACGCAAAAAGCATAAAATGAAATTTGCCTTGCATAGAAAGATTCACCAATACTGACTTTGGGAATCGGTTGCACTTGTTGCAAGTCAAACACATACGTTATGCTTGCTTCTGGGGTTGCTTTCATCAAACTATGGAAGGCTTTAGCTCTCTTTTTGTGGGTTACAATGTCTGCAACTAAACGTTCTTTGGTAACACCATTTTCACAAGATTGAAGTTCACTTCTAAGACTAGCGCAATAACTACATGTATCGGAAGCAGGGGACCCAAACCCTAGATTAAACTTTGTCTCGAAAATTTTCACGAAAAATGTCTTTTTCACCTTCAGCTCTTCTTCAACGGTAGAGTTTTAATGATGAAAGAGTCGATTTATGTTCAAAGATGAATGCAAGTAAAGTCGGCGGCTTTTATTTCTTGCGTAATGACTTTCGGAAGCTCTTAGTTTTGAAATAAACTCGTACACTTTCTTCCTTTTTGCTGAAAACCTCTGAAGTTTGTGATCTCCTCCTCGTTTATCCACTATTCCGACACCAGATAACATTCCGTCAGCAATTGTATTCAATCTTCGTTGACCAACCCCAAATAACTTCGCAAAAAATTTTGAGCATACAGGTATTCTTTGTTTTTCTGTCGACATCAAGAAATATTTAACTGCAACGCGATGTCGCTTGTTTTTTCTCACATCACCACGAACACGGCTGCGTTTTGGATGCGTTACATCCATTAAAAAGGATAATCTTCTATCTTGCTCTTTTCTGTCCGGCTTAATGAAAACTTTTCTTTTTGCGTTTGCTAGGATGCTTCTAGAAATACTGTTGCAATTAAACTGGCCTTCTCGGTGGATACAGGTTGGCCGAAAATTGAGCAACAAGGGGTCGGCGTCTTGATATCTATAAAAGAACGAAACATGTACTACCATTTTTTTTTGTAACAAACAAGCAGTGCCTACCTCTTTTCATATTCTGCTTCCCTTTTTGTTTTTCGTCGTAGCTTTTTTCTTGATCCCTCATTATAGCTGCCCACCATAACACTGGTATCGAGGCTTTAAATTGTAATAAACTTAACACCCTAAAATACAGTAATTTTTAAATATTTAATGTAAATTATTTTTATTTAAGTAAACGTGTATCGCTGTTGCACCTGTTGCACTGCATAGGCAGAACTGAAATGCAGGTTATAATGAACAAAACTGACAAGTTTCAGCTGTTTTTGGTCGATATTGTCGCCTTCTAGCGGTGAAATGACATAATGCGTTTTGATCAAACCAGATCCGTGGACAAAATGCATTTTGATGTGAACCTTATACTTTGCATGCCAATTACACAGGGACATAATGCGCCTTGATATGTTTTATTTATCTAGGAATGTAGAACACAACAAATGATTTCAGAAACCGCTTCTATCTCAATTTTGTCCAAAATGGACAAAATGCGTTTTGAAAAGTTGCTCCTCAAATAAAGTGAGGAAAAAATAAAAAAAATTATTTTGAGATAAATCTGATATATGAAACAAATGACTATTCTGATAATTTTAATGCCTACCTAGGAAATTCTGTATTTGAAATAACTAAGATTTGGCAAGGTCAATGGATAAATATTTAAAGCATGATGTGGCAACAATGTCAACGTTTTATCTGTATATTTGTTTACCTTTGTTAGTATGTTATCTCTTAATTTTTGTAAAGAATGCAGTTTCTGAGAAATGAGTAGTACAGATATTTTTAATTATTGCTCTTTCATGTACTACTTGTTAAGCATAACAAAATGCCTTCAGCTCGAAGACCATGTTAGCGACTTTGGTAGGGGTAAAATTATTGCCTATCGAGATGTTGGTTTGTCCTATCGCGAAATTGATCGCCGTGTTAATTGTACTGCAATGACGGTAATGCGTGTGTCATGTGTGGGTAGCAGAAGGTAGATGAACACGAAGAAGGCCAACTGGTCCACCGAGCGTCAAGTTAGTCGCTTCAAACAACTAGCCCTACGAGACAGTTTTGGTACTTCGCGTCAGATCGAGCCTTTGGATTTTTTTCATACCATCCACGGTTAGTGCTTCCACTAACTTCGGGTCACTGACGTCAACGTTCGAACTGGATCAGAGAACGGCAACATTGGGAGGCAGAATGGTATAATGTAGGCTTCAGCGAGGCTTCGCGATTCTGTCTAGGTATGCACGATGGTCGTAGAAGGGTAAGACGCCGCCGTGGATAACGGCATGATATTGGATTTGCTGTTGAGAGGCATGTACACACGACTGTTGGAGTAATGGTTTGGGGGCTATTGCCTATGATATCCGATCACCCCTTCCCTTTACTCAAGGCAATATGACTGCTGTGCGTTATGTTCATAACGTCCTACAAACCACTTTACTGACGTATCTAGAGGGCCGCCACACGTCCTTTTTCAGCAAGACAACGCCCATCCCCATATTGCTCGTCGTACTACGGACTTTCTTCAAGAAGCAGGCGTTAATGTTTTGCCGTCACTGGATTTAAATCCCATCGAACATGTGTGGGATATGATGGCTATCGCCACAGTCTCTGCCTCAGCTTATCCTCGAAGTTCGAGTTGCTTGGGATGAGGTGCCACAACCAGATATCAATCATCTCATTTTGTCGACGCCTAGATGTATTCAGTTGGGGGGTCGCCCACCACATTATTTTTTTTTTCTTATTACTGGTCAACAAAATTTCGTGAGAATGTTATTGTTTCATTCTTGATGTAAGACTATGTCATTGGAAACAAATCAAGTTGAAGAAATTATTTCTGGGTGTAACACTTCTAATGTCACTGTGTATATGAGTATATATTTTTCCGAATTTGATGATCCTTTAATATACCCACCCATTTCGCCTAAACTTTAACTTGTGGCACTTAGTACATGATCGTTATCTGAATATTTCGTCAAGTAGATTGACTCAATATATATTACCCATTGATAAACAACAGTCACTGAAGTACAAACTGACATAAATTAGAGAGACGAACTTGCGTGATGCAGATATCTTCAAGCAACTTGTGGATAGAAGTTCGACTATTATCGTTAGTCCAATACTTACATCGTTTAGGTAGTCGTAGATTTTGATAATTGATTCAGTAGCGGCGGAACTACGTACAAAAAAATAGATATCGCTGGAGCATAGTGAATGCGGTAAATGGATATAAATTGTTACATGTTTGGTTTTTTCTTATTTCTTGTGAATAAAATTTCGTGAGGATATTATCGTTTCGTTGAAGAAATCATTTTGTCTGGTCTAATGTCAGAGTATATTATACACTTTTGGGATCAGAATTAAAAACTATTCATCTGCGCAAAAATTCCAACAAAACGTCATATTGAAATTATAATTATATTATATTCTAGTGGATACAGGGACAATGTTAATGTGAAAATTATTTAGAAATCCCACTACAAATAGGGTCATAAAAAAATTAAAACGATTTTGAGAAAAATTCTGTTTTTTCCGTCTTCCTTCGAAAGTACTTTGAATTTTCAAACTTTCTAAGCCACATTTGTTAGTTACCTAAATACGCAACAATGGTGAGGGTCGAAGTTGAAGCACCCGGTATAACTCGAGCACCACCATAGAGAAGATGCAGTGTTGCATGTTAGTTGTACAGTTTTAGTGGTAATGACCAAACATGTGAGCTAGACGGGTACGAGATTAGGTATTTTCTGCATGTTGAAACCCGACCTATTTTCATCGACAATCAGAAAAACACAAACGATGACATAATCGATAAAACAAGGCATCCTTTAAAATATCGTCAGAATTCCAATTTGAATTTGCAAAAACTGAATTTAGAAGTACTGAAATAACATACGGCGTAAATAGTTTTTTATTGGTATCTAACTACAGATATCTCCTACATCTAGTGGTTTCTCGGGTTTTTATAACTGTTGGCACAAATCTGCGAAATGATTAATATAAGGGACTATCAGTGCTCATACAGGATGTCCTGAAAGTTGGGATTTTCCTTTTCAGAAACAGCTACTCTTGAAATAACAAAGAACAGTAGCAGAAAAGTAAACAAAATAAATTAAAAAGTACTCACTATTAATTTTCAGAGAAATTTCATGTATGGCTCAGTCGCCGATGGTAAAATGTTAGAAAGTCTAGGTACGGTAAACCTTCCAGCTGATTTTAAAAAATAAAAGGTCCAATGAGCATTTACCATGTCAACCCAAATATTCAAAGAAAATATTTCAAGAAAATCTGAACGACGAAGTGAGGGTTTTCCAATGACGACACATGAGAACCCACTTCGTTACGCGTGAATGTTGAACAACCACTCCCAAAAACGGACTGCTTAGACTTGCACTTGTCTAGCCACTTTCCTAGTGCTTGTTGAGAAACTTTTTTCTACAAGATTCAATATTCCTTCCTCAGTTTGCACCATTCCTGCACAACCAAATGTATCCCTAGCTTTTATCACAAGGTAAACAAACGAATACGGCTCTCAATGCCTGTCTGGGAAATTGATATGCATTCACTTGCGAAGCCTCGGTAGCATTTTAAAGACGCTCATCAAAAATTAAATGCATGTCGAGGAGTTCGATAATGCTGTACTAGTGTGCCCTAATTGTTCTTTTTTGGAACCAATCGGTCAATAAATGTTTTGTTCACCTAATCTGCCGGCGCTTGGGCTGAGTACTAACGTATGTCGTCCCTTTCTCACTTTTGACATGCTGGAGTAACAGGAGCGGCTTAAGTTTGCTTTGTTTTGATTGATTTTGCGGAGCCTAATATCTTGGTTATCTTAAGACTTTGGTGATTATGCTACTAGGAAAACCTCTTATTTTTTCAAGATCTATACATGGTGAGAGGAAAGTCCCAACTTTGCGGATACCCTGTATATTACTCATAATAATTAAATATGTAATAATAAAGAAGAATGCACTCACCAGAACTTCCATCATCTCTTGTGAAAGGTACTAAGCGAAACTGTAGCACCGCGTGTTGCTTGGAGCACGATGGATGATCAACAGGTAGGTCCACAACTTTTCTATCCCTCCCAATAAGATAGGCGCTCTCCCTATGAATATAGAGAGTTTGTAGTGCTTTTTCTCCTTTAAATGGATACAAACGCCACCTGCGTCTAGGTTTTCGAGCCTCTGGCGGTTCACTGTATTTTATTACAACACCTGAAAGATTCGGCTAATATAAAACAAGAAAAAAATGGCGTCAAGTAGGTTGACTCTACACTTCCCAAACAACGCCCTTATCAGTAGGTAGAGCAATATGTCCATCACAAACTAGACCATCTGAGAAAAAAAGTCAGTCAAACAGGTCCATTCAATTAGTCCACAGACATTCTTTCCCTGCCCTACCGGTAATGCATCTCGTAACGTCGTCTCTCCCTGATGCCTAACTCGGGCAGACGTGATACCGTGGTAGCGCGGTCAGAGCATAGAAAACACTATGCTGTTCCAGAAATAGTGTGATTCCATACCTGAACATTCATCACGATAGGTGCACGACGCCAGCAGCAGCCGCGGCCGATAAGGACTCGATCCGCCTCCCGAGAATATTTTTCAGGGGTAATGTTCAGAGAAATCTATGTGTAAAATATGTCTAATAGGTACGTAGAATTACCAATGTTGAGAGCGTATAAATGTACCCGCATCAAAAAGTTGAGACAAGCCCCACCAACAAGTTTGTTCGATTCTAAAATTTTTTCCAGGAAGTCTGAGCGATTATTACTTTTTTCGTTTTATGCCTTTTTCGCTGGCGCCACTGGATGGATTTTAAAAAACGAGAAATCCGAGCGCTACTTCCCGAGTTCTGGCGGTTATAAGATTAGCTAACAGACCGACACAATTATTAGTACTATTTTGTGAGAATATTGTCCCTCACCTCTATAGGTATTGGTTTCTTCTGTTAATTTCCCAGATAGTCCAAAGTTGGGCTTATCCTTCTCTTCATTTTCTTTTTTCATTGAACGATTTGGTTCACCTTCGCCTTTGCCCCACTTAGCATTTGCATGATCAAATGAATTGCTTCTCCTCCTAAAACAAACCAATGCCTCAGCCAAATGTGGGAGATATTTATCTATATATCACATATTTCTAGATGTACTACCAGTTGCTTGCAAAATTGTCACTTATGTTACTAATTTTTACTAATCAAAGCTGTAAATGTAACGTTTTACCTTTATCTTTAACCTTTCATTTATTATTAATTAATTGTATCAATTATTTTAATTATTACAAAAGGACAGAAAAATCACATCAAGTATGAGATTCTGCATACACATTATATTATGGAATCAAAATTTTGATTTTTTTAAAGAAGTGCATTAGGAAAACCCAGATTGATACATTTGTGAAAAACATTGCCACCATATGGATGCTTGCAAATATTAGTTTTTGAGAAAAAGGGAGAAAGTTGTGTACAATATTTAAGGACGTAGTAGACGAGGACAGATATAACCAAAAATATTTACTTTTATGTGCTGATTCATGTATTTTGTTCGTAGTTGCGTTTCTTGATGATCTAGTAATTTTGGGTATTTTTGGTAGCAGGCATAATATCAACTCATAATCCGTAAATAAAGATTGGTGCAACTACATGCAGATTCGAATAAGCTAGATAAGTATGGAATATTTGGAACATTTATCATGTACTTTCCACTTCAGGCATGTTATTGTCAAAAATGCTACGTAAATTTTTTCTGTATAAAATATCAATATATTTTCGCCTATTTTGCCTGCCGAACATTTATAACATAGTCTAATCATATTACAAAATTTACCCGAAATAATTGGAAAGTCTGGTTTTAATGATGCAAGTTGCTCAAGGAGGTACTTAAAACATGGAAGCATAAAATGGGTACGCCAATTATTGTGGGTAAAACTTATTATTCGACATCAAAGTATGAGAAAACGTTTTTTGGGATTTAATCGAGAGTGTTTGCGGTAACGAAAAAAAACTACAAAAAAGATTTTTAGGTATTTAGGGGACCTACAGAAAGAGACTACATGTAAATAGATCCCACTAATAGTTAAAAATTTGTGGTCGAAAACTGAGGCTAAATGCAGGTTTTGGCACTTGTTGCTAATGAGACGATAATTTCACGCAGCTGCTTGAAATTCTTCAAATCCGTAGGTTTCTTATTTCTGAATAGCCATAATAAAATTGTAGCCGATTGGTCAAGTAGTTTTTGAAAATTTCTAATTGTATATCTCAAAACACCTGTCTTCTGGCTGTCACTATTAGTTTATTGAGTTTGTTCAAAAGACACTTTATAGCAAAATACACTAGTTTACCTTTCTGACTTGAATCACAAGCCTTTGCTAAAGATAATTATTATTTTTTGCGTAAAAAGTAGAATTAGGTTTTTTCTTCTAAACAAATTCAAACATTTCGTATTTGTAAGTAATTGAACAGATTCGCTACGATATTCGAAAAACATTTTAAAATAAAGCGGTTGTGTCTATCACCTTTTGTCGCGAAGATTTGTTCATACTATACGTATTTGGAGTTGAACTTTTACACGGTCACAAATGAGCCTTAACGTTTATAAAAAAAAATGTTTTATACTGAAATGCGCTGAACTGTTTATAAAGTTGCACCTCCATCCTACGGTTTTTCAATCGTCAATCCTTCCCATTACGCAACGCCGCCTTTTGGTTTACTGGATCTTTATGCCACTATACTTGACACTGACAAATGTCAAGGCATATCAAATCTGTTATAAACAATTAGAGTACTCTTGAAAGATACAATGCTGAAACCTTAAATAATGTATTAGGGACTAATACGGATCATTTTGCCAAATTTACACACGGTCAGTTCCCTACAACTGGTTGATATTTGTCTACTATTTTTTTGTTTTCTCTAGTTTATTTTCCAACATTTTGAACTCGCAGTCGTTTTATTCGTACGAGATTTCGAAAACAGACGTATACTATATTAATACTTTTAGAAAAAATGTCCAGGGACATTTATTCTTAAAGAAACTGGATTGCGTGACCTACTTATTTGACAAGGTCATGCAGGCATCAATAATGCAGCCCTTAGCACATGCTACATACTAACTAGTCTAAGACAGTTTGAAACATAATTGTGTCTTCAGTTTGCGTGCTAACTGTATAGTCAGTTCAGCGCATATCAGTATGAAATATGTTTTTTACTAACTTTAAAGCACACCTGTGACCATGTAAAAATTTAAGCACTAAATAATATGTAAACACAAGAGTATGAAGAAATCTTGAAAAAAAATTTTTTTTCGTCGCAACAAAAGGTGTTAGATAGACACATCCGCTTTGTTTTAAAATGCGTATAATAACACATGTTTTTCGAATATCGTAGCAATCTGTTCAACTACTTACAAATAGGAAATGTTTGAATTTGTTTAGAGAAAAAACGTAACCCTTCGTTTTTCGCATAAAAATAACAATTATCTTTCGGAATGGTTTGTGATTCATGTCTGCAAGGTAAACTCGTGTATTATGTCCTTTGAATGAATCCTTATATTGCTCAATAAACTAGTAGCGATGGCCGGAAGACAGGTGTTTTGGGCTAAACAATTAGAAATTCTCAAAAACTACTAGATTAATCGACTCCAATTTTGCTGTGCTTATTTAGAAGAATTTCAAGTAGCTGCGTGAAATTATCGTCGCATTAGCAACAAGTGCCAAAACCAGAGTTTTTTCGTCAACTGCCAATACTTCGATTGAATCTCGAAAACGCGTTTTCTCATTCTTTGTTGGCGAATAAAAAGTTTTTCCACAACAATTGGTGTACCTATTTCATGCGTCTATATTTTAAATACCCCCTTGAACAACTTGCATCTCAATAAAACCAGACTTTACAATTATTTCTCAAACCAGGGGAATTTTAGCACAGTTTAGCAGTGAATGGATTCAACTACATATTAGTAAAATTGTAGATCAGGTCATTAGCAACAGAGTACGTACTATAGACATTAGTACCAAAGGTCAATTGATTTCAGAATATCCCAGTATCAATTTTTTATGAAAAGCCACATGTCCTTACAATTACTCATACATTTTCTAGCTTACTCCAATGATTGGACATTTTTAAACAGTTTGGTTAAGAGACGAATTAAATTGAAAAGTTTTTGATAAATGGATTCAAATTGGTGGACTATAGCATCCACCACCTTCCCTGTAATCCTATATTTGACAAGCTAAGCCACTTTCAGACTAGACCAAAAACCTTACATTCTATCATCATTTAAACAGCTGTTTTATTCATCACAGGTATAATGAGGTAAATTTTTACCTTTCTCTATGATTTCTGCCTCTCCTATCATCCCCTCTTGATCCTCTATCATCTCTTGACTGATCTTTCTTATGATCCCTTTTCCCTCTATCCTCATATCTATCATCAGATCTATCTCTCTCTCTATCACCTCTAACCCGTCTCCCTTCATCTCTGTATTTTCTTCCTTCTTCTCGATTCCACCTTCTGTCATCTTTTTCACTATATCTATCTTTTTTATCCTTAGGACTTCTGGATTTAGATTTATATTTTGAACTATGGCTGTAATTGTCATATTTCTCTTTGTATGATTTTTCTGCATACTTTTCCTGTGGTTCTTCTACCCTTTTGCGTTTGCTGCAAAATATGTGTAAACATTGTTAGGTAACATCTAGGGATAGTGTCCCCTTTCAAATCAGCACTTTAGAGCTTGTATAATCAAGATTATATTAAAAAATATCGACAGCTGAGAGGTAAACAGTTAAGTGCATTAATGATACAGTGAATATGAAGTCACACGCCAAAAAAATGAAATATTAAAAAGGTTGAAGACAGAAAATTTTCAAAAATGAAAATATGGGCAAACAGTAATTTCTGACATACAATAATCCCAGGTCACTTTAATAGCAATATTAATTCCACATTGACTTGGCCTTGACAAATATTTACCAATCAGCCATGATTATGCACCACCAAAATACTTAAAATGTTTGAACATAAACAACCAATTATTAATCCAACAAAAGTTACATTTCTAGGGAAGCTAGAAGCGAGTATATTATATCATGGTCTTTATTGATATACACTGAGTGATTTGAATTGGCCAGGATGGTTGAATCAACAAAAACTCGATATTTTTGTGACTAAAGAAGCAGCATTTAGAGACTTCCTCCTTTAACTTTTTCTGGCCTTTTTAGTGTTAAGCATGTCAGTAAATTAAAATTCATAGTCTCTAAGTAGTTAACATGATGAGAAACCAATATTTGCTTACTTGATCTTACTGCTAGTCAATAAGAAAATATTGTCTGGAAACAGTCTCTTTGGAATTTAGCCAGTTAAATACAACTCAAATCAGCTACCTAAAAGTTCCAATATGGAGCAGTTGTGGAAAAATGAAGTTGGTATAAGACAAAATCGAATTGAGAACCTAAATATGTCACTTTAAAGAGGAGCACTGCTAAAACAAATATGTAAGTTACTGAAATTCAATTACCAATAAGCTAGAGAAAATGGAAACGACTTTGCAAGTTTTCTGTTGTTTGTGTCTTAATGTCATCATTATTGTCTTGTTGGTCATGAGAAATTATGACGCAAGGCCTGCCAATCTTACTTAAATTATTAATAAAATCAGACATATAATACACATATTATGAACAATTACAAGGAAATAAATAGATCAGTGGAAATGTTTGAAAAATAGAAAAAATAAAATGTTTCATACCAGCTATGAGATTTAAATAAAATTGCAGTACTGAATCATCAAGCAGTAAAGTATTCATCAATGGAGTTGTAACATTACATAACAGTACATTATAGTAACAATATAGTGAGGCACAGTAACAATCATCTATAACACCACAAAAAATGATAACTTTATTAGCAAAGTTTATTGCTATTGGCTAGTACAGATTTTTATTCTATGCAGGGTGATTGAAAAAACAATGGTCATATTTCTAGTGCAAAAAGTTGATCCAATAATAAAAAAAAATTCTATTGATATATCCTAAAATGTCCCTTTGCCAAGATACACAAAGATGACAAATTTCTATGACACTGATGAAACTGAATAAATACAAAACAAAATAAGCCTCAAATAATTCAATGGGGAAATATATATATATATATACTCTGCTACAAAAATTTTCCAGTAACTTCAGCAAATTTTCAAAGTTGAGTGGGTTAAATTTGTTATATAGGTTGCTTCTCTAATATTCAAACTAATTTTTCTTAAAAACAAGTAGTTTGACAAAGATTTCTCAGGGGAGGTGATTTACATAAACTCAAAAAACCATTAGATGTTTAAAAAAAAATTGTAGTATAGAAAATCCTTTTTTTTCTGTAAGGGTAAAAATTTCTTATTTGTTCACCATTTGTGAAGTCTGAGGCACAAAAATTTGTATACCTATTGCCTATGCTATTAGTAATCCATATACAAAATTTAGGATATCTTAATCCACTCTGAAGATATATTTTTTTTTATATTGATATGATGTATCTTGGCGAGGGGATACTTTAGGACCATGTTTATATGAACTTTTTGATTTGTTTTTATCTACTTATGGCCTAGAAATGTTGGTATTATTTTTTTTGCCCTCCTTTCAATTTAAACTTATTAATTGTGGGAGCTAAGACTCAAGTTAAATTAGGAAAAAGTTGCGTTCTTTGGGGCGGATTTACATGGTGTTGAGAAACTTGAAAGCATTTCATGACTTACTGAGATGGTTGGCAAAAACTAAAATTTGGCCAAATCATTTTTATTTTCTTCTGACTTTATCAATTATCAAAAAACTAATGAAACTTTTCCATTGGCACTTTCTTGGCACTACCACACAGTACTACCAGAGGCGACACTCTGTCAAAAATCAGGTTCTATCAATGCCAACTTGAGTTATATGCATTTGGTGGGATTCCTATTGCTGTGATATAATCTGTGGCTGTGACACTTAGGGGTTGGAATGTTTTGACACGTGTCCACAAGACAGTTTTATCAATACAATGCAATTATCTGGCCTAAATGCATTTGGGGAAATAATAAACACAAATTTCTTCATTCTGTTGCTTGGAATCTAAATTAATATGATTTAATCAAAAATAGGAATTTTTAGAGGAAACTCAGAATAGTGTTTCACAAGCAGTTGCTGAGGGCCAAATCCATACCCCAATTAATTTTGCGTAACAACAGATTTATTTCACCCCTATAAATTCAGGGTTTGCTAGCATTTTTATGAGTTGTACATACAAACATGTGAAGATTTCAATTTCCCTCAAAAATAATATGGTCTGAGTTTGGTCATTAATAATAATATCTTTAATTGCTGCGACACTCATCACTGGGCTCAAGAAAATCTGCAGGCTGAACTAGTATCCAGACACCAAGAAAGTTTTGGGTTTAATATGGTGTGGAATTCTAGGGAGCAAAATATTAGGTACATTTAGTTATCACAACTCATTAACTGCAGAGTGGTACCTTCTGTTGCAACATGATCCTAATCTGCCTGGATAATTCACCTTTAGCACTGGGTAATAGCTGTTCATTTCAACAAGATGGTGCTCCTGCTTATAACTCTAGAGTTTAAGAGTATTTTGCTCAGCAATTTCCTGGAAGGTGGATTGGAACCTAAAGGGAAGTTTCCTGGCCAGCGCACTCCCCTGCTTTAACTCCTCTAGACTTTTTTGTTTGATGATTTTATTGGAAACCAAGTTTATCAGCATACTTTTAAAAAAGAGCAGCAGTTATGAGAATGTGTAATGGAAACATTTAGTACAATTAGACCAAAAATGTTACATGAAATTGTAAACTCTGTTAGAAGATCAGATTTATGTTAAGAAAATAATGGCAACATATGTGATCACATAGTTTGAATAAAATAAAAATAATGCTAGAAATGACTTTGAAGTTGAGTCATTAATTTTCAGATAATGATTGTAGAAGGAAGATAAATCAAAATATGTGTGTAAAAATAAAAAAAAAAATTTTACTTTGTTTTATAAAGTGTCCTCCCGGCAAGTATTTCGGTGCGGACCTGTATTTGATCGTGAGGTCTTGGAGCACCGGCATGCCGTCAACTGTGAGGTCTTAAGTCACCTGATTCACGAGCCCGTTGTACTACATTAACAAAGGCACGAGGGGTTGGTTGCACTCGATTGGGAAACCGATCCGCATAAACATGTGCCATTTTTTATTTCGTTTGAGCCACGCAACAGACACCACTATTCACTCACGCGTTACCGACTGACACTGACTGTTTACAACTGAATAAAATAATTGTAAAAACATCGTTCCAAATTCTTTCGCTTTTTTGTTTCCGATGCGATGAACCGATAAGGCGGATTATATCCGTTGTTGCCAAACACGAGCACATAATATATTATTGAGACAGGGCGGTACTCAAACTTCCAAAGGGCTATAACTTTGTTACTTTAATTTTACCAGAAAAATGGTAAAGGAAAAAACATTTCTTTTGATCAGATCTACTCACTGTTAAAATAAATGACTCAACTTCGAAGTCACCCTGTATATATCACTAAATTAATCATCATTTTATAAAACTTTAGCCCATCATATCGTTATGTAATATGTAATATGCACCTATTGCTACTTAAATAAAATAAAAAAACTCATTTTTCTTGATAAGAAAGCAAATGTAACGTTTGAATTCAGAGAAAAATGTTCTAGCAGGTACTTTTTTCTGACCATACAAAATAATAAAGTTGATGGTTTCTCAAAAATGAAACATTGAGCACAAAATTTAAAAACATCACCATTACTTAGTACCTAAAAAGTGCCAATTAAAAATTGAAAAACAAAAAAAATTTGTCCAAATTTTGGTTTTTCCAAAATACCTCAGTAAGCTATGAAATTTTTACAAGTTTCTTAACAGCATGTAAATATGCCTCTTATAACAGCTTTTTCCTAATGTAACCCAAAAAATATCTCCCATAAGTATTGAGATTCCCTTTGCATAAGATCCTTATCTTAGATGCCATGTATAACTCTTCCACACCTGAAGTAGTCTACATCAACATCTGCTGAATCAAAGGAATTAAATCAAATCAAACTTCCTTAATGCAAACTGTTACCAACTGGAAAAGGTACTCCATAATAATTGCAATATAGCATAAAATGACAGTAATTCTGGACCAATTTATGTTACCTGAATGCATTCATCCATACATATCCTCTCAGTGTATACACAAAATCATGAGCTAAACTAAGCAAAATCATAACCAGTGCTGATTTAGAAGGGGGTACTTTATAAACGTGTAGCTTGATGGCCTATTTGAAATGTGTGTAGGTCTTGGAGCTCTGTAAATATCTAGATTAGGGGAAACAACCATCTAGGACACAAGGTACCTACATGCCTCAAATTTTACAGTCTAAACCTGTAACAAAATAATGAATGGTAACAATATCGAAATAGCATTCATTTTTGCATAGCAAACAGATAGTTACCTCTCTTTATGATCATCTTTTGAGTGTCGCTTTTTCGGTTTTTTATGTTTCTTGCCACTCTCGCTTCCCGAAGATCTTGAGGAGCTGTCATCTGAAGATCCTGATGAAGAGTCATCCGAGTCAGATTCATATTTCTTTTTGTGCTTATGGGAGCCCATGCTGTAAAAAAGATTTCTCTAGGTGAACATTCACATTCATCAATTGTTTGTGATCAGTTGTCAACGTAAACCACAGAGCACAGAACGAAAGACGTAAACGAAGCATGACATTTGACAATTGATATAACTGATTGACAGCTGAGCAACAAGGAAGTATAAGAACCTTGCCAAGAGAAACAGAAACTACGTAAATGTTCATCCTAGGGTGCGTTTGTAAATGACTTGGTAATATAATACGGTACACATGCACGTCAAACAATGTACGAACGCAGCACTGTAAAATTGCGCTTGGGAGTACTAGTGGTACTACGACAGACTTGCCAAGTTGGGAGATTTGTCTTTAAATTTGGAGGGATTTTTGTGCTTGTTCTGGGGAATTCTGTCCAACACATCTGGAAACGTAAGTTGACAGATCCGCCATATGGACAATACTATTCCTAATAGTCTAAATTCTACTGTTTGAATCCACAGGTGTCCGCTTTTTGATAAAACTTGGTTTCTATGAATGATAAATAATAGTAGAACAGATTACAGCACCGTTGCCTTTGCCTTGCAACCAGTGATGGGCGTTTACGCGTATACATGAATTCTACAGGTTTCGATGTAGACAACAGAAGTAGACAATACGTATATAAGAGCGCACGACAAAATATATATATATATATATATATATATATATACAGGGTGACTTTAAAGTTGAGTCATTAATTTTCAGATAATGATTGTAGAAGGAAGATAAACCAAAATATGTGTGTAAAAATAAAAAAAAATTTTTACCTTGTTTTATAAAGTATCCTCCCGACAAGTATTTCAGTGCGGACCTGTATTAAATCGTGAGGTCTTGGAGCACCGGCATGCCATCACCTGATTCACGAGCCCGTTGTACTACATTAACAAAGGCACGAGGGGTTGGTTGCACTCGATTGGGAAACCGATCCGCATAAACATGTGCCATTTTTTATTTCGTTTGAGCCACGCAACAGACACCACCATTCACTGACGCGTTACCGACTGACACTGACTGTATACAAATGGATAAAATAATTGTAAAAACATCGTTCCAAATTCTTTCGCTTTTTTGTTTCCGATGCGATGAACCGATAAGGCGGATTATATCCGTTGTCGCCAAACACGAGCACATAATATTATTATTGAGACAGTGCGGTACTCAAACTTCCAAAGGGCTATAACTTTGTTACTTTAATTTTACCAGAAAAATGGTAAAGGAAAAAAACATTTCTTTTGATCAGATCTACTCACTGTTAAAATAAATGACTCAACTTCGAAGTCACCCTGTATATATACATGGTGTCCATTTGAAAACCTCCCACTACGGATTTATCGAAAACCACTGACTAAAAGAAAAAACGCTGAGACACGTCAAAAGATTTATTAAAGGGGACAACTTTTTAACCAAAAACTACTTCACCACCTATCACCCTCGGTCCCCCAGGGTCATTCCCTTAAAAATTTTAAATGAAAAGGGGTATCGAGTAATAGCTTGTTTGAAAGGCCATTCGTAGTCCTTTATTTTGACGTTTGATTTTTTAATTTATAATCAGTCGATTCGTTTTCGAGAAAATTAGAAAAATCTTCATTTATCTTAATTTGTTCAGATAGAAAACAAAAACACACGAAAATATCACTTTTCATTTCAATGAGTGATCAAAATGTTTCCCGTTATTGGCCAAACAATGATATAGGTGATGTTCAAATTCCTGACGGACATTTTCAAAAACATGTGGGACATTATGGCACTTTCGATTATGCGTTGTCCAAGATCATACAAACTTTGGGGAGTAAACACAATAGATTTCAAATGGTCCCATAGAAAAAAGTCTAATGGCGTCAAATCAGGAGATCTAGCAGGCCATTCTATAGGGCCTCTTCGCCCTATCCATTAGCTATGTCCACACTGTGCCTTTTTTTGTTCAATAAGGGCATGCGCTATAGCGCAGTCAACAGCGCACGTGAGGCATGCCTTTAACGCAAGCGCGATGGCAGTTGAAAGCGAAGCGCGCGCTGTGATACACGTTTTCCGGTGTCGGGTGGATGTCTGTGCCTTATAGCGTTCAACAACAAGATGGCGGACGAAGAATTTTTAAAAAGAATATCTTTATATTCTCTTAGTTCACTCATAATCACGTTACTTCCATTATTATAATAACCTCGTATCCAAAACTTTCTCTTGGTTCTTTTTTTACTGGAATATCTGATGACCAAGTAAGCTGCACATATTCCACCAAGTAAAATATTCTCGTCGCACATGTTTCCAAATTATGACAGAAACTACGACTAAACTATGGTGTTGCTTTCATTTAACGCATTCACTTATTGTAAGCGTTAAACGAAAGTCGAATAGAAAGATGAACACGAAAGTTGACGATGAAAAGGTACAGTGTGGACATAGCTTATTATCCTTTCCGCATTCTTTTCATCAACACATATCCTGGGCGTTCTGCATTTATTGTTATATATATATATATAGGGTGGCCCATCCATGTGTGGACGGAATATGACTCATAAACAAATATATTTTGGGAAAATCTTTTTATGGGATGCTATACATGATATTTGAGGGCACATTTCTAAAATATTGGCCATTATAGAGGGTGGCCCAATTTCTCCCTACATATCAAAGTTGTGATTTTTCAAATGGAATTTCTCAAATTTTATTGCATATTTAGATACACCAATTCAAACGAAGAAAATTGATATACTATGGGGTTTTGGTAATTAGCTTCTGAGATATAAGGTGTTTTGTCTAGAAAAACCCCCCACTTCGGCAACCCCTCAGTTCGCCATTTTGAAATGAGTGCTGAATTTTGTATAAAAAAACTCGCACACCTCAGCTTTTATCTTATCTGTGACTTTTTCCAATTTTAATTTTTGCTCATACAGGGTGGTCAAAAACGCACCATGTATATTTGGATTCAATTTTTTTATAAGCTTTTTTTGATACTAGACACATAAGGGTTTTTACGGCTATTTTTCGGTTATTAGCACGTCTTTTATGGAACGGCTTAATTCCCTAAAATATCGCATTATCCTTGAAAACAAATAAATGGTTGATTATTTACGAACTGTCAAAATTAGCTTTGTGAGCATTATAATAGAAACGTGTTTGAAACTGAATTTTTCTAAAGAAGAAATGGTGAATATGGTGTTCGTTTTGGGGGAAGCCCAAGGAAATAGTTTCCTAGCATCTCGCATTTATAAGCAACGGTACCCTAATATGCGACATCCAAGGCCGGAAACATTTTCCGCACTACGAGAACGTTTTGAATCAAGTGGAGCAGTGGAATATCGTAAAAAATGTATAAATAATCCAAGCGTCACCAATGAGGCGAATCAGTTGGAGATTCTATTAAAGTTGCAGGAAAATCCCCATTTAAGTGCACGGCAAATTTTAGCAGAAACTGATATATGCAGAATTTCTGTCCAAAAGATTATTCACAAGCATAGGTACCATCCATATCACCTATGCTTGCATCAAGGCCTTCGTCTTCAGGATTTTGCAGCTCGAATGGAGTTTAGTAGAATAATGCTAAATAAAATGAGTGAAGACATTACTTTCCTGGATAAGGTTCTTTTTAGCGATGAGGCAACTTTTGACAGCATAGGTGTTGTCAACAGGCATAACACGCACTATTATGCGCTCATACAGTGAAAGTGCCTAAACCAGGGTCATAGCGCAATGGCAGTCAGTCTTTCTCGACGTTGGCCAAGCAGATTGAAAAAAAGAAACTCTCACACTGCAGCCTTCCACCACTTACGTGTCAGGATGAAACGATTGTGTCGGACTCAAAGGCCAAGGCGAAAGTCCTTGCCAAGACCTTTGCTGCCAACTCCACCGTGGACCCTCCAACGCCCAAGTGACCTCAATTCAAAGGGTTCCCTACACTAAGCGGGAAGTAACATTCAGGTATAAGACGAGTGCTCTTGCCGCTCGAGATCAACAAAGCTTCTGGACCGGACTTGATTCCTGCCATTGTACTGGAGAGGTGTGCAGCGGAGCTTGCTCCAATTCTTTCGCGTCTCTTCCAGATACCTGAATGAATCTGGCACCTTCCCAGAAAACTGGAAATTTGCTCATGTCTAACCCATCCCAAAAAAGGGATCTAAGACCGACCCTTACAACTACAGGCTTATAGCTCTGCATTCTGTTATAAGTAAGGTGATTTCGAGGTGCTTAAATCGGGAGCTTCTGCACTACCTCGAACGTCACAGCTTGATTAAGCGACAGGAAGTATGGTTTCCGGCACCAGCGATCCACAGGGAACCTTCTAGCTTACGTCACGCAATTGTGGAATAAACTCATCCAGTCTTATGGTGAGGCTTATGTCATGGCTCTTGACATCACGAAAGCGTTCGATCAGCTGTGACACGTTGCCCTTTTAAGCAAACTTCTATCCTATGGCATCCCAGAAAAGTTTTCCAGACGGGTGGCTGACTCTATCTCTGGCCGCAAGGTATCCGTCGTAATTGACGGGTTCTCCTCTTCATCCCATAACGTCAACGCGGTTGTTCCCCAGGGATCGCTCTTGGCTCCGACACTGTTCCTCTTACATATCAACGACCTCCTCTCCTGCACGATCTCTGCCGCTGAGCTAGAAAATAGAAGACTTACGACGACTTCCTCTCTGACGAGAGACCTGGAGGTTATCACTGCTTGAGGACGCAACAAACTTGTACAGTTTAATGCTTCTAAAACACAGTACTGTACCTTGACGAACAAAAAGCGTCCTAAAGCTTGTCCGGTTTCTATGGATGGCCGAGCTCTGCCAAAGAGCCATTCACTTCGACAGGTCGGAGTCCAGATCACCGAAGACCTGGTCTGGCACGAACTCATCTCGTCAAGAGCGGCAGCTGCTGGGAAAAAGTTAGGCTATTTGTTTAGGGCTCAGAAATACTTTTCTCCGCATGACCTGCTCACTATATACAAGGCCTAGCCTCGTGTATTGCTCACACATTTGGGGTGCTGCCGCCCTGACTAAATTATTTATGCTCGATGCTGACCAGAGGAGGGCTGTCCAACTGATCGATGACTCTTCTCTAACAAACAGTCACGTGAGCCTTTCGCACAGGCGAGCCGTCGGCGATCTAGGTCTCTTGTACCGCTACACCAACGCGCTTGGCTCCTCAGAGCTCTCTTCCATGATGCCGCCACGCGATGTGCCTGCTAGACAGACCCGCCTGACTTTGACCTCACATCCTAACCGTGTCGTGTTCATTTTCGCAATTGTTTTGTGTGGAATGGACTGAGATATGTCTCGGAGTCCCTCAGAATGTTTTTTTTTTGTTACCAGCAAAGAAGTTTTTTATGTTTGAATCTTTAATATTATAACACTGGTTAATTATACATGCCACGTACTTATTTTGTTCTCATTTAATAAAATATTGCCTTTCTGGGGATTTCTGAGCATTTTCCATGTTTTTTTTCAAGCTGGCCTTGACCAGATAGAACACAATGGATTTAAGGAGCAATAATAGGATAAATTCTAGAAGTTCCACTGAGGTTAAAAAATGACCAGCCCCCAATTATCGTTTGCAGTTTTTGTAGATTAGGTCTTGAGTAGTGGTAGTTGTTTGTTTATGTTGTTGTTATAGTTGTTTTTCTATATTACGCTTGAAGCTGATTTATACTATTCTGATTGTTATTAGTTTTTACGTCAAATCTGTAGTCTCAGTGGCAATATGGAACTAGCCCACTGCTTATCTTTTGCTTCCATGGATGATGTGATTTTTTTCCTTAATTTTGGTGTGTTATTCTATTAAAAGCTTAATAACTCAAAATCTAGTGATTTTATCTGAATCAAACCTTATACTAAAAAAGCTTATAAAGAATTGAATCCAAACTTGAACAAAAATACAGAATGATGCATTTGAAATGTTTGAGAAAAAGTACAGTTCGCGTTTTTGAGCACCCTGTATGAGTAAAAATAAAAATTCGAAAAAGTAACAAATAAGATAAAAGTTGAGGTGTGTAAGTTTTTTTTTATACAAAATTTAGCACTCCAAATTTCAAAATGGCGGATTGAGGGGTTGCCGAAGTGGACGGTTTTTCTGGACAAAACACCTTACAGTAATTACCAAAATCCCATAGTATGTGACACCAATCTTCTCCTTTTGAATTGGTTTATCCAAATAGATTTTCTCAAAATGTATTTGTTTATGAGTAATATTCCGTCCCTGTGTATATGTATAGTTATTTGCTGTTAAGGGAAAGAAAGAATTTAATTTCCTGTCAGTTACCTTTGTGACAATCTTGGGATAGTGAAAATTAATTTATTGATTCAGATTTTACTACCAAAATATGAAAACGTGATCATCGGAGAGTTTTGGATCAAGCCGCTCAAGTTGAAGTTTTGGGTCATTTTGAAATAAATCCTAAAGGCTGCGACACACAGTGCCGGCGGCAGGGCAGCCGGGCAAGCCGCCGGCTAAGCCGCCGCACACCCGGCGGCATACAAAGCCGCCGGCCTTGCCGCGCAAAGGAGCCGCCGTGGTGTGCCGGCGTCAGTTCGTTCCTGACATTCAAGCGGTAGTGTTGTGCGGTTTGTGTGTTTAAACAAATTAAAATGTTTAATTGGGACGACGAAGCTGTGCTGCTCTTAATTGAAAAATTTCATGAAAATGATATATTATGGAATCCCAGAAATGCAGCACTTCAATAGCTTTCTATGTGACTGTCACAACCGGAATGATGCTTGACGGCCTTGCGCGGCTTGTGCAGCTTTAATACTTCATTACTCAAAATTGTTGCTGCAATTGGTATTTCATTAGGCTAATTTCATCCATTCAAAATGAAAATATTGCAAGAGTTAATCGAAGATGATTTCGATAGGCGACTTGAGTTTGGTGAATGACTGAAGCGATTAATTTAACAATTTAACAATTGAAAACAAAATCGAAGAGGATGGATACCCTATACTGGATGAGGCGGAAATATATTTCCAGCAAGACGGCGCTCACTATGTTCTTCCGGTTCGGCAATGGCTAGACGACGAGTTTCTAGATAAATGGGTAGGGCGAAGATAGAATGGCCTGCTAGATCTCCTGGTTCGACGCCATTAGACTTTTTTCTATGGGGCCATTTTCAAATCTATTTACATTACTGCCTAACCTGAAAGTTTGGATGAACTTGGACAACGCATCGAAAGCTGCCATGATATCCCACAAGTTTTTTAAAATGTCCGTCAGAAATTTGAACATCACCTATATCATTATTTGGCCAATAACGGGCAACATTTTGAAGACTCATTGAAATAAAACGTGATATTTTCGTGTGTTTTTGTTTTCTATCTGAACAGATTAAGATAAATAAAGATTTTTCTAATTTACTTGATGAAAACGTATCGACCGATTTTAAAAAATCAACCGTCAAAATAAATCACTTCGAAAGACCTTTCAAACAAGCTATTACTCGATACCCCATGTCGTTAAAAATTTTTAAGGGGATGACCCTGTGGGCAGAGGGTGAAAGGGAGTGAAGTAATTTTTGGTTAAAAAGTTGTCCGCCTTGACAAATCTTTTGAGGTGTCTCGGCGTTTTTTCTTTTAATCAGCGGTTTTCGATAAATCCGTGGTGGGAAGTTTTCAAATGAACACCATGTATACTGGACGTCGTAACTAGCTAGGAGAAAGTCTTCCTGATATGTCTTTGTGAACTCGACAAAAATTTGCAAAGATCACTCTTTTAACTTCAAAACTGTAATTTTCTATGGACTAGTCATCATCTTCAGGAACTAAAAACCAAATTTAGAAAATAGCAACTATAAACAATTAAGTGATATTTTAATACTTATAAGTCGACGAGATAGTTGCTAAATTGTCCTTAGAAGAATGTGGATGAGACCAGAAAAATTAGTAAAAGATCATAGTTGCGTTTTTCCTAACGGATTCAAAAGATTAATTAATTTTGAAACTTTTATATCACATCATTTTGGAACCTCCACACGTGTTCAGCAGGCCGACAGTGACGTGTGAAGTTGACATTATTGATATATGATTGATTGTAACGAGATTATTATGTTACCTGGGTTGCCTACCTAATAGGAATTACGTGTACTATTTAAGAGAAGCGTTTGTCAAAGTCCAGGATGTCAATCAAAAAGTTTCAAAAATAATTGTTGTTATGGATAAAGTGTGTATTAAATGTTAGCATTCAAACAATCGTAGAATTTCAAACTTGGCTTTGAAAGATAGTTGTGGATTTGCAAAACTATTAAATTATTGTATTTATTGTGACAAATCAATGTTGGGAGAGATGCGAAATCTTTTAATTTTTGCGCAGCTCAAAAATTATGAATAAATAACGCTAATTTGTTTGACATCAGCCTTTTTGTTCATATTTGTCGGCTGCCTATGAAAAAGTGATTTCGGTTAATTTCGCTGTTTTTTTTTGTGTTCTGCGTCTCGTCGTCCTTAATAGATATCTCACTGGTCACAGGCACCCAAACTCAAAGGGGCTCTAAGATATAGGGTTTCTAAGTCAGTAAGATGGTGTAACGGTCGTACTCGGCTATCTGCTTTACACGGCAGAGTGGTTTCGGTTAATTTGGCTGGACTTTTTATGATATTCGTAATTGCGACCTTAGTGCTTTCGGTTAATATGAATGAGTTTAAGAAATCTCATGTATCTCGGCATCATGAAGGAATGTCTCAAAGGGCACAAATGCCAGAACTCAACGGGTACCATTATGTGTAGGTTAATATTATTTTTGAATATTTGACTTACTTTGATTCGTCTTTATGAAACTTCTGGATCACAGTTATTGTAGCTTCGATGCAAATACCACACGCACTGTGAGCCAACTGAATAACACGTTTATGTCCACAGAGTACCGATTTGCTGGACACTTACAGCATTACTAAATACCCAGGCATTTTAATTAAGGAACAAATGACACATTAGTCCCTCCCCAATGACCTGCTCTAGGAAAATATTAGGTGATAATCTGGGGAATTCCTTAGTAAAATAGCAGGTCATTAAGGACAGGTGTAGGAGCAGGCATCCTACCTGCTCCGGGTTTCCTATTCTACCAAGGAATTCGAATAGATTGTTTGTCGCTAAAATTGTGTACTTTTACTGCATATCTTTGACTCATTTGACTCCCATTGCCTACCAACGTATCAACATAATAATAATACTTATCGGTAGAAAGATCTATCTTTATTAGGCTTGTGCCGCTCTTTACAAATTATGCAAGAAGCACTATGTCCTGAAATCATCTAACATCATAATGATGTGCACACTCGCACTTTTAAAAAAATATCACTAAAAATACGAATTTAATGACAGGACTGTCTAACAACTAACTTATGCCAAGTCCACTTGTAGTATGCAATGTCATCCTAACTACAGACTGAGAATTTGGAGACAAACAAATCGTAGGCTTGCTCCTTTTACAAAGTTTGAATTCGTTGCGTTGGACAGCTTACATTTAAGGTTGTTCTGTTTTCTGGATCAAGGAGCACGCAACATGCCTGAGGAAAAAGTGATTTCGGTTATTATCGCTAAATTTTTTATGTGTTATGCGTCTTGTTGTCCTTAAAATACTATCAATGGGCTCCCAAACTCAAAGAGTTCCAAGATATAGGCTGACTAAGTCAGTATAATGGTGTAACGGTCCTACTATCCGCTTTATATGGAATGGTGGTTTCGGTTAATGTCGTTGAATTTTTTATATGTTATGCGCCTTTGCGTCCTTAATGCGTTCGGCTAATATAACTGAATTTGTGAAATCTCGTGTACCTCGGCATCCTGAAGGGCACCCATCCCAGAACTCAACGATTCCCAGTATATGTAGGTTAATATTGTTTTTAAATGTTCGACTTACTTTGATTCGTCTTTAGGAACCCTTTGGATCACAGTTATTGTAGCTTTGTTTTATATAAACACTACACGCACTGTGGGCAAACGGAATAACACGTTTAAGTCCACAGAGTACTGATTTCCTGGACATTACTGAATACCCAGGTATCGTAATTAAGGAACAATTGATACATTAGTCCCTCCCTGACACCTGCTCTAGGAAGCTTAGGTGATAATCTAGGTAATTACTTGGTAATAAGATCAAGGACAGGTGTAGCAGTAGGCATCTTTCCTTCCTGTTCTGGGTTTCCTGTAAGGAATTACAACCGATTCGGAGCCAAGCCTACATGTTTACGTTGCAAGGTTTGTCGCCAAAATTGCGTACTTTTAATGCATACTTTTGACTCATTTGACTACCATTGTCTACCAAAGTGACAAAGTATCAACTTTAATAAAAATACTTAACAGTATCTATCTATCTTCATTAGGCTGGTGCCGCCCTTTGCAGATTATGCAAGAAGCGCCTTGTCCTGAAATCATTTAGCATCGTAATTATCTGCACACACGCACTTTTAAAAAATAACACTAAAATCACATAACTGCAACAGAAATGTCAAGCCGACTTGTAGCATGCACTTTCAACCTAATTACAGACTGAGATTTTGGAGCTAAATCGCAGGCTTGCTCCTTTTACCTTGAATTCCTTGTATTCTACGGATGAAGATTAAAATGTTTACAGAACAGGGATTGTCGACTTTGCGGACTGTTGTTGAATCGCTTTTTATGTGATATTGCACAAATGACGTAAGGACCTGTTTGAATGACTTTTCTCTCAGATATGTTTAAAATTCCTCATTACTGTATCACGTTACGGTCCCAACGGTGAAGCTCTTCAAGTACAATTGACACATTTGACATGATATAAGGTCTATGATGCTGTCTTATTTCGATAGTGTCTATCTTGTACCGAACACATTCCTTTCTGGAACCTATATGCAACCTACTTGGTCGTTTTTTCCATATTGTTTAGCTAAAACTTGGAGCTTAAATATCAGTAGCTCAATTAAATGAAACAATTAATAGTACATTTTAAACCAAAGAAGCATGACATAAAACAAAAAAGTAAAAACAGTCCAGCTTCTTTGTACGTTTTTAATAGACTAAAAAAACATGCTTCTCAGCAGCATCTGAATACGCCCCAAAGAACGCAGCTTTTTCCCAATTTAACCAATGAATCGCTCTGGATAAAAAAACACAACCAGCAAAACCTACTTGTTTCATATAACGTGCCCAAAGTTGTTACCGTAGCAACACGACCATCGCAACATAAATAAATCGATTTTTAAGAACCAAAATAGTTCTGTTATCAAACATGAAGACGTGTAACACCCGCTTTTCTCCATTATTCATCATGATCAGGTAACTAATCATCGTTATTGAAAGGTTATATGTTATAATACATTAGGATTCTCTTTTTCTCAATTAGGTTACCCTTACAAGTCGAGAGGTGCATAGTTCACCCTAGGATATAATAACATGAAGCAGAAACATGTAGATATCAGATTCACCTTAAAATGATTGTCTTACAGCACACTTTAATATTACCTGTCGTTTTTTTTTTCGTTTTTAATTGTCCAAAGTAACAAAGTTGCCCTTATCTATAAGTCCGTCCATGGCTAGATGTAAGAATTAAATAGAAATAAATAAAGATCAATTGTAGTTTTATGCCTCGTTTGATGTTCATACGTTTAAGCACTACATACATTTTTTCAACTATGTTGTAATATCAGGATGGAATAAGAGAAAAATTTGAATTCAGACATTTTCAGTTGAAGAAAACTCACGACGCCCAGGATCTTGTAATTTAGATACTGGGAAATCTCAAAAATAATATTTATCTCAGTTTTTAAGAATTGAAATTTATAATTTTTGGAGCTAAGAGTGAGACTAACCTCCTTTCCTTGATGCTAGAGACTTTCTTGGGAAAATAGTTATCAGATATCTCTAGTGAAACAATGACGCTTTCTCGAGGACCGTTCAAAGCATGATTTAAATTTCCATTTTACAGTTCGCCATAACAGTTGTCTTCGATGTCATAAAGATTTGTCTTTGCTGGCCGTATCTATTTACCATTTTGATGATACAATTGAGAGGATTTATTTTATTTTGTGCTAAATATCAATAGGCAATGCAAAATAATAGTGTGTTGCTTCCTCGAATTACAGCGCAATCACAGAGAAGTAAAAAACTGACTATAGACAACCAGTTTCACGAAACTGCTCTGCTAGTTGCAGATTGTAGATTACGTCTAAAAAAAGAATTTTAGCGATGAGAAGGTGCATTTGATCTAGGAACTATTGATGACAAAAACAGGTAACAGCAGCATAGCATTTCGATGCAGCTGCTGGTTGCCTCTATAATCAATTTCTTACGTTTCTGTGATTGGGTTATAATTAGAGGAAGCAAACACATTGTAATGCTAAATAGATACGGCCAGTAAACATTTTTTCTGACATCGATGAAGCTTGTGATGACAACTCATTCCTCCCTAGAACGCTCTTCAAGGAAGCGTCATTGTCTCACTGTTCCCAAGGCCCAAGGAAACATCCGTTGTTTCCAAAGAAGCTCCAAGCCTCAAGGAAGGTCTATAAATCTGACTCTAAAAAGGTTTTACAGTTCGAGAACGGTCAACTTTAGAGAATAACCACTGAGGAACATTTTTTTGTTCACATCGATGCAAGATATCAGATAAAAATGCTCTCAGCGGATAAGAAAACTATAATCAAATTCAAGCGGATAACCAAATGAAAATGGTATTTACCATTTTGGGTTGGTATTTACCGATCCGTTCAAGCGAGTGTGGTCATCAGTTTGGTTATAAGATCCGTGACGTCATGAATCAGCTGTTATATGTCACAGTTATCACCGCAAAATTGTGGTATTTACCCAACTCATGAGTACTTTTATATTTCGGGTTATTATTTGAAATGTGACAAGTTAGAATTTTGCCGTTTATTGAATATTGTTATTGTACTTCAGCTTCATTTTTGGGAAACTTGATACAGGCTGACTTCAGACTAGCATAAAGTGGAGCACCGTTGTAGTTATACTCATTACTGTTGTTGGGAACACTTTCAATCTAGTTCCTATGTTTAACAAAGTATCCTGTGTAGCCATATACCACAAGAATATTAAAATATGGCCATTTAACTCACTGGATGATGTCCACCTGTATACGGTTTTGCTAATATTTTTTTTCATCATTTCTGCTAAATCAATAAATGTTTTCTTTGACATGCGGAAAACTTTTGTGAATTGAAAGTTATCATAGCTACAAAACCATGGTTCCATCATTAAACAAATTTTTATGAAAAAAAAAAACATTTCTCCCATGAATAGTATGAAAGGTTTCTTATTTAAACTTTCCATACACCGTTGTAGACAAAAAAGCACCAATTATTAAGTGATAATATACGCACTTTCCTAAAATAAACAACTTGCAACAAAACCGCGGTTAAAACCAACGCGTTAAAGCGATTCGTGCAACTGACGTCATCAACCCGTGTGTCATCTTGAGCCATATTATAACCGCGGGACCGCGGCACATAACACAGAAATTTTGGTTATTCGCTTGGATTTGATTTATGTTGTGATGAATAAAAATTTTGTTTTTTTTTAATAAATTTTATGAACCAGTTAGGTAGTGTGCAAATATACTAAGTGACATATAAATCCGAACACCCTGTTTAAATGGTTTTATTTTAATAAAAGTTAGTGAATGTATTTATCTTACTGTAAATAACAAGTGAAAAAATTTTCAGCCTTATCAGTTGGACATTCCGGTTTTTATACTGCTTTTTTTTAATTCACTAACGCTCTAAAAATGAATATTTCAGCCGCAGTAAAGAATCAACGTTGGCGGATTTTGGTTCTTGACATCCTTTACGATCGGTTACGATGTCTAGAGTACGGAGACCTTTACGATTTCGTCAACTTAGTGAGTTTGATAGGGGCTGTATAGTGGGACTACGGGAAGCTGGACTTTCTTTTCGGGCAATTGCAGTTAGAGAACAAAGAAGTGTAGACACTGTGGTTAGGTGTTGTCAGGCATGGCTTCGAGAAGGCCGTACGCAAAGAGCAAGGGGCATTGGACGCCGCCGTAGAACAACAGACCGTGAAGATCGCCGCCTAAAATTATTGGCCTTAAGGGACCGTTTCTCCACTACCAGGTCCATTGCAAATGAATGGTACCGACGAATGAGAAGTTTTGGCTTGTTTTCATACCGGCCACACTGGGTCCTCCCTTTATCTCGAGAACACCGACGTAATCGCCTTGAGTGGTGCAGACAACGGTCACTCTGGGATCAGGAATGGAACAGTATTGTCTTTAGTGACAAGTCTCGATTTTGTTTAGGCATGCACGATGGTCGTGCCAGGGTTAGAAGGCGACGTGGTGAAAGGCGGAATCCACAGTTTTTTGTCGAAAGACATGTTCATCACACTGTTGGAGTTATGGTTTGGGGTGCTATAGCTTATGGTTCCAGGTCACCTTTAATCTTCATCAGAGGTAACATGAACGCGCATATCCACGAAGTTCTAGAACCCCATCTTTTACCCTATCTTGACACCCTGGCAGATCCAACTTTCCAACAAGATAATGCCCGACCACATGTTGCAAGAGTCACAATAGACTTCTTTCAACATAATGATGTCACATTGTTACCATGGCCACCAAGTTCTCCCGACTTATCCCCAATTGAGCACGTGTGGGATATGATGGGTAGGAGATTGCTCAATTTGCAACGTCCTCCTCAGACAGACACACCTGATCAGAAGCATGCCTAGGCGCGTTGGAGAATGCGTAGCACATCAGGGTGCATCCACAAATTATTAAAGGTCAAAGAGCTTTAAAGCAGTGCAATCATTTTGAAATTTTTATCATTTACTTATAATGCTTCATTAAGTACTTATACAAAATTTTATTAAAATAAAACCATTTAAACTGGGTGTTCGGATTTATATGTCACTTAGTATAGTACACCCCGCGTTTGCTCGCTATGAGCGCAGGGAATGTTCTATGGAGGAATGACTCAACGACACGACACGCTCAATGACCATGCTGCAAGCTGCAAGTTCCCCAGCATGCTTTGTTGGTTGCAGAATGCCGAGATAGTATGTAGTGTATACTCTGGGAAGATGTATGGTTGAGTAGCAGAGTAGCAAGATCACATTTGGATGACTGTGTTTTGATCTGCATGTGTATAAAATCAGAAATTTGCTATGTGAGAAAATTATTACTGAATATGCTGCGCATTAAATATATCTATTAGCTGTGCCAGATGGGTTATTTGTGTTGTTGTTCCGTTTTATTTTTTGCATTTTCAAAAACCTTGAGAAGCATTACGTGAAATTAGCACCGCACCCGCGTTGTGTGTAATTAAGCCACACCTCCAAAGAATTAGGAATAACGCCCTGCCTCATATCTAAGGGCTGATTTGTATTTTCTACTTGACATCGTAAAATAAATTTATCTAAAACTTGAATGACTGGAAATAAAAGTTAATGTGAAATGTAATAAGTTTCATAAATATTCCTGTATTTGCCATATTTTCTCACCTGTTGGTTTTAATACACTTCACCAAATAGGGATTTTCTTTTTTGAAACTCGGTTAATTTGCATATGCACCATAATTTCCAGTTTGAAAAAGAAAAAGCGGATGCGCAACTAATTTTTATATATAAATATATATAAGCATACAAATCCTCACTATGCACCTATACACTGCCGTTTCATTCCAGCTATAGTATACAAATTACAGCTTAGGGCGGTATCGTCAGTCGTTGGTTCTCATAGTATTCATTCATAGTAAATATCCCAGCCTGTCCTTCGGAAGGGCTGGGATATTTCTAAATTTTTACTGTTCCGTGTCAGCGTCAGCGCTCTGCTACTGTGAGGCTTTGTTTTCTCTTTGAAAACCATGAAAATCAAGGTCATAAAGGCGTCCTACATTGTAGGAACGACTGACGATACGTCCCTAAATGTACGGCGACATCTATGACGAGTGGAATATGTCTAATATCAACGTCAAAAATTGAGATATAAGCTTCCCATCCCCTGCAAACCCTACCCCCAATTTTAAACCCCTAGAATAATTTTCCGGAAATGATTGAAATGTCAAAAAATTAAGCATTAGTGATTTTAATTCCTATATATATATTTTCAAAACCCACAGCTTTTTTGCGTCCTTGGAATAGTAGTATCATTATGTAAAAATTTCATCGAAATCCAAGCGGTACTTGTCAAGTTATAGGCGGTTATAAGATTAGCGGTCAGACCGACCGACCGACAGACAGACAGATCGACGGTAATGCGTGACATGGTTTTTCGCGATGCACATGCATATAACATCTAAAAAACAATATTTCAATTTCGAAAAATTTCTAGTACAATATTTCCTCGCCGCGCCAGTACGCGTGGTATGTAAATAGGTTATTAGCGTTTTGTGGTAATAAAAATGCAGTTTTTTGTAAAAATACTATAATGTAAATATAGATAAGTAGAAAAAGAAAAATCATTCTATTTAAATATAAAAACAAAACGTAAAAAATGGCTAGTTAGCGCTGATGTTCAGAAAAAGAAAATGAAACATATTTGTTTTAAATAAAGAGTAGATGAATATACTGGCATGTATATTCAATCTTGTTTCAGTCAATAAACCGCAAAGCCCTAAAATTAAAATAACAGAAAATAAATAAATAAATACAACATAAATGCTATCACGCGATTGGCCATCATTAAAGACGTCACTCTAACTCAAGCACCACAGCACCGTCACTCATGTTCAGATCTGTTAATATTTCAAGTTGTTAAGTTTGCTGAGTCTACTTTGAACTTCATATCGGTTCCGTGATGAAGATACCTTAAATTAGCTGACATGTATATATCGCCCAACATGGCAGATGCAGTCTTGGGCACAGTTGGGATGAAGTTTTTCATTCGCTAGATTAATCGGGTGACACTACTTTGTGTAAAGCAATACATAAAATCATACGTTGACTTATCATATATAGTCTAACCGTATTAGCAAATTTCCCCAAAATAATTGTAATGGTCAGAGAGATATGCAAAACATAGACGCATTAAATCGGTACACCAATTTTTGTGGGAAATGCGACGTGGGACGCGTTTTTTGGGATCCAATCGAAATTGTTGAGTCGAACGAAACGACTTTTCAAATGAGATTTTTAGGCACTTAAAGAGACCTACAAAATAAGATCATACACAAACGTCCCATTAAAAGCAAAAAAGTTATGACCAAAAAGATACTTGCAATTCCTCAAATGCATAGGTCAAATACTTCTAAATTACCACAACAAAATTGGAATCGATCGGTCAAGTTTTTGAGAATTTCTAATTCTTTATCCTGAAACACCTGTTTTCCAAACATCAATACTAGTTTATGGAGCAAAAAAACAACGTACGTTCAAGGGTTATTTCATACCAAAATATACGAATTTACCTCGTCGATATATGGCAAATCACAGGCCAAAAAATAAAAAGCTAGGTTTTTCCTTATCAACAAATTCAAACATTTTGTATTTGTGTGGAATCGAACAAATGTGTACGATATTTGAAAAACATACATTATACACATTTTAAAATAAAGCGGATGTTCCTACAACTTTTTGTTGCAAGGCATTTTTTCCAAAAAGATGTGTATAGAGCTGACAGTTTCACTCGATGAAAGATAAGCGTCGAAGCTTATAAAAAAAAACATAATTTCACAATGAATTGTTAGAAAAGTTAACACTCAAACTGAAGACACAATTATGTTCCAAACTGTCTTAGTCCAGTTAGTATGTAGTATGTGCTAAGAATGATGGCCGCATGACTGTCAAATAAGTAGATCACGTAATCCAGTTTCTATTTCGAAGAAATAGGATTACCTGGACTTTTTTCTCAGTTCTGATATGGTATACGTTTGTTTTCCAAATCTCGTACCATTAAAACCCGAAAAGTGTTATACAGCAAACTCGAGAAAGCAAAAAAACCGTAGAAAAATATCAACCAATTGTATCGAACTGCCTGTCTGAAAATTTAGATAAAATATTACTATTACACTGAATATATTATTCAAAGTTTTAGCTTTTTATCATTCAGGACTCGTGGTGTCGTGGATACATAGGACGCAGGTTCGTAACCACATACATCTTTTTTTTTGAATAATTTTTTTATTCTAACGTGTACTTTTATATGGTGATTAAACAGCGTTTCACATGACATAGAGTATGCAAGTATCGTAACCGGAACATTTACATTTAGAAATTTCTGAAGACATATTAGCTTGCCTTCCTTGAAAAGTAATGAAAATGAACTAAAACCTTCGTTTGTGATGTTCAGATTTCCGAAGCGCGGTCAAAGTACAACGCTACCACTGGTTGATATTTGTCTACTGTTTTAATGATTTGGAAAACAAACCTATATAAACCTCATAAAAAACGTCCAGATTATATTTCTTCAAAAAGTAAACTGGATTACGTGACCTACTTATTTGATAAAGTCATGCAGCAATTAACTGGGCTAAGACAGTTTGAAACCTAATTACGTCTTCAGTTTGCGCGCTAAATTTTTAAACAATTCAATGCGTTTCAGTATGAAATTATTTTTTTATAAACTGTAAGAAATTTCGAAAAAAAATTCTTCAAAACAAAGAGTAGACACATCCGCTTTGTTTCAAAATGTGTATAAGATTTGTTTTTCGAATGCCGTAACGCATCTGTTCGAATCCTCACATCTAAGAGATGTTTGAATTTGTTTATAAGAAGAAAACGTAACCTTATATTTTTCGCATAAAAATATCGTCCATGTTTTAAACACCCCCTGAATAAATTGCATCGATAAAACCAAACATTATTTCGCAAACCAGGGGATTTTTCATCTAATATGATTAGACTAATAAACGTTTATACGAATACGGGTTTTGTTCTGTTTTTCTTTTTCTGTAAATGAATAATACATATACGAATCAGCTAGCCATTTTCCAGTTTAAGGACGTGAATATAAATTGATAACAATACCTTAATGCTATTTATATCAGTAGTATCCTCTGTGTACATAACTAAGAATGTGACAAAAAAATATTATGCGTGAAAAATAATACAACTAAATACGTTTTTAGGAATCTCTATATTCAGAAAAACGTCAGAATGAATGCTGGTTAAGAGAAGTATGGTTAATGTTAGAAATATTAGTTAATTAGGTCCTCCATAAGGGAGTCTTTGAAGAAAAATGAAATTAACTTTTCAAAGTATTGATACCAGTAATATGTCACATTATCGGAAGGAGTGAACTTATGTACTACCAAAGGTGGAAATTTAGAAACGCTATTAAAAGTAGAAATACAAATTTTTAGTGTTGTATAAGTTAGGATTACGCACCAGATCAGGCCAGTACCACATTGTTACAATTATCTGGTATCAATAGATAGCATGTGTAGTATAGTGTTGGTCCAACGGGGTCGGCAACAAGGTCAAGGCTGGCCTAGTTACCAGGCTTCGCCCTCCACCACTACTACTACTACATCAGACGGATTTTAAATAATATATCTTATAACCATATATCTCACTAAACTTTTACATTAGAGTGATCTTGGATCAACAAGAAATTCTGCGATTAATATATGTGTTATAGAGGGTGTCCCTTGAAATTTGTATAAGCAAACTATTACATTCACATAGAGTATTATGTTATAAGTTTGTATAAAAAATGTTCTACTCACTTCCCTACGAGAAAATTGAACACTGAAGAAGCAAATCCTAAATATAACTTGAAAACACAATCACTCGCTCAGGGTGACAAACGATTTTGAGGATACTACGATAGTTCGCAGATTATCGAGAGAAAACTAAATCATAGTATCGCGTTTGAGAGTACTGTACCCTCATATGACATTTTGTTACAGGAGTTCATAACGTTTACATTTTAAATGAATCTGGAGGTTACCCTCTCACTCAGGGACACCCTGTATAATGTATGGAATTCACATAGGATATACTCTAGGAACACAGCCATTTATGTAGTTATTTGGTACTTTAGTACGTTGTGAGTGAACTTTCTTTTACTGGGACTAATATATTCGTACTAAGTTGATTTATAATATTCTGCAAATTATGCAAGTGTCTCAAAATCATGGTACAAAAAGTATTTATATGTACGCGAATTTTTTTAAACATGTCAACCATATGTTTTAGTAAGAAGCATTTTCCATTGATCTTTTTCCACTGTCTCCGGTATATGTAAAGACTGCATTTAAACAAAGAATTCAATTTATTCTCATAAATCTATGTTGTCAATGATTACAAATCTGTGATTATTTACACTGCAGAACTCAATTTAATACCTCAGGTGTACGAAAAAATGCGATCAGAAATATGACACATCGCTATAAGGAACTAAAATAAAAATGGGCATTACCGCTTAAAACTAATAATAAATTATTTTACATTAAAGCATTCCTCAAATAAGTAGCTGCATGTGAAATTTATTTATATTATATATATATATATATATATATATATATATATATATAAAACCCCCTTTTCCACATCGGAATTGAAAAGAGGACCAAATTTTTCGTCCGAACCTTGGCCATGACTCTGACAACTGCCTCCAAGACACTTCAAGGTCAAGTTAAGGCATCGAAAACAATTTGTTTTAACAAAAATGTTCGACAGAACAGTTGTGAGGTTTGTGAGGATCAGTCAGAGGTGTCCTTGACCATGACGTTCAAGGTCAAGTCAAAATCTCCAAAGAAAACCTCTAATTTTTATACTGGAAATAGAAAGAGCGGGAAATTTTTCGCTTTTTGCATGTCCGGTATAAAAATGAGGTTTCCTATGAGAATTTTGACTTGACCCTAAAAATCATGGTCAAGATGTCGCCGCTGGGTGATCCCACAAATCACACTATGCTGTTGAACATTTTTGCTAGAACAAATTGTTTTCTATGTCTTTATTTAACCTTGAAATGGCCTTGAAAGCAGTGGCCAAGAGAGACGTAAAATTTGCTCGTCATTTTAATTCCGATATGAAAAAAGGGGGTGTTTCATTTGAAAATATTGACTTGACCTTGAAAATACCTTAAAGGTCATTGTCTAAGTGACCATCATTTTACCTCATCGAAACCCTACAACTTTTGTTTGACATCTTTTTTTTAAATGTGCAGTTTTAGGTAGGGAGATTAAAATGGGACAACGTGTATAGCAAATTAATACATACGAAACTATTTCAAGAAACTAAAACTATACCCTGCATTTTTGAGCAATACTGCTCTAGAGCGAGAATACAAATTCTCTCTAAAGCTGTACCGAGACTAAGAAAACATTTCGAGACACTTGATCCAATTTATTCACAACAAAAATTGCACCGTTTTGTTAATAGATCACAATATGGTGGCACCAGTACTTCACTGACATCCACAACGAATAAAAAAATTGATTTGAAACTAATTTACTGAAACGCGGAATGTTTTTTTTTATTTGAAAGTGTATTTTGTAAATAATTGCCAAATACGTTATCTCGTTTCATAAAAATTTAACAAACCCCCAAAACAGTACTATTTGTACTTTTGCCGGGAGTTGCTTTTTCTAGCGGGTGCTTAACATATATATTTTTCAACAAATGTAAATAGACTAAACCAACAACTCAATACGGGTAATGTAATACTAACCATTCTCATCTTTTGGTATTGGTGGAAATATTTTGGTATAGATCTAGGAGAATTGTTCAACTTCAGTCGCCGTTGAGTATCACAGTTCCTACAAAACAAAACATCTAATTGTAGAACCTGTTTGCTTACTTGCTTTGCTGTTGTTGACGGGTTCAGTATTTCACGTATGACGTGACAGGTGTAGAATTATCGAATATGAACATACGAAAAACCACAGATACAGCAATTTGAGAAAAATAAAACGTATTTAGGAATCCTCATATTTTGCTTACTGCTCATGAAGTTAGTGGTAATCTGTGAAACCATCGCAAAATAACGCTTTCAAAGTTGAGTCATTTATTTTAACTGCTTGTAGGACTCGTCAAAATTAGTTTATATACCAAGAACCACCACAAAAGTTGCATAATAAAATAATAAAAAAAAATCAAAAAATAAGAACGTCATTACACAGATTTTTGATATTCTCATGCCGTGTAAAATCTTTGCGTTTTTCGTTTATTACTTTTATTGTTTATCTAAATTTTTGTTAGAAGCGAAAGATCATTCTAGAAGAATTGCATTTTGCCACTGGCTTTTAAATAAATTCGGCAGAAATGAAGATTTTACAAAATTAACGTTGTGTTCAGACGAGGTCACATTTAGACGAAATGGACTGCACAGTTTCTTTTTCTTTTTCACCTCGACTGAAATTTATTTAGATTTTTTTGGAAACAATCTGCCACAATATTAGAAGAACTTCCTCTAAATGTGAGGAGACAGAATATGTGGTTCCTACATGATGAGGTTGCACCACATTTTAGACGAGAAGTTCATGAACATGTACCAATAATGAGTTTCCGAATAGATGGATATGGCGCAATGGACCCATTTCTTGGCGTGCTCGCTCCCTGGATTTAACGCCTTGCGATTTTTTTTGTGGGGATATTTGAACGAGTTCGTGTATCATGATGGAGCAGTAAATACTTTGGAAGAACTTCAACAGCGCACTGAAAATGCTTGTCATTTAATTCGTGGACACCAGGATTTTCTTTTCGGAGCTTGTAAAGAGTCGTGGATTCGAGGAGCAAGATTTTGCGTTAATCGAACAAGTGGGGACAATTTTGAACAGTTTTTGTAAAAACTGTATCAATTTGATTTGGTAATGCATTTTTTAGATAACTTTTATTATGCAACTTTTATATAGGAGATTTATGGAATATCAACTTCTTTTGACGAGTTCTTCAAGCTGTTGAAATAGATGAATCGACTTTGAAAACTATTTACTTTTCCACGAGTATCCATTCCGGCAGAATAAGAGCTGATTATCTAGTAATATTCAAAATTCCCCATATCGACAAGTAACACGCAATTATGACACATCCGCCTGTGGATCCGTCAACGCCAAGTAGACAGAGCCCTATTTTGCTGTAGTTTTATTTCCGTGGCGGTTTCATTTTGTACTTGTTAACAACTCTTTTATTTATGAAAGTTACCTCGCATAAAAAAATAATATGGTCCTCAGTTTTACCCGATTCATTATTGCCAACGTTCCAGACTAATACAAATATGTCACTTTCTGATCAGCTGTTCACCTCAGTAGACGTCAAAACGTAATGGATACTCGTGAAATACAGTGTAATTTCTTCTTCTCTTGGCTTGATCCCAATGATACGATGCAAAACAAAGATGTGCATCAAATTGTAACATATATATTGTTAGTATACAAAATTGTGCATGTGCATACTAGAATATAGTAAATAGTGACAGTATAGTTAGGTACCTTGTCATAGCTAATGGTATCATATGCTGGTTTCTTCTGGAAATATTTAAAATAGACCAAAGCACTGGCAGCAACTATTGTAGCTAGGCTCACCAACACACTAACAGATATTCCTAAAATTTGGAAATGTAAGTTATGCGTACAGAAGTTTTAGTTATTCATAAATGTAATGCAGTTAGATGCTAAATATTATGAAATAGACAAATAGATCTTAGTCACTCTTTCAGTCACGTAGCATCCAGGTTAGGGTACCACAAAAAAATTAAAGTACTTTTTTCAAACGCATACCCGCTAATTTTGCTTGAACAATGTTAAAACAATTGTAAATAAAGTTTTATGTACCTAGAACCAGGGCAACCCGTGCAGTTTGTTCTATTAGTAAACGCACTGTTTTAGTTCAGTTAACATGTCGAAAAAATTATGCAGTTCTAAAAAGGGAAATTTTTTAACGTAAAGCATCAAATTACTGGTTAAAAACTTAAGCGTCAATGAAAGCGCCAACCTTACTGTTCGTGTGTGCATTATTTACTGGGAAAATGTTCGTATAACGACTAAATCTCTATCTAACAGAAACAGAAACTAGTTACCTTGTACCAAATTTGGAGGGATTTTCAAAAATTCAAGCAAAACACAAGAAGTGTTTGAGCAACGTCGACAAGAGTTTGTAACGAACTTGGACAATTTCTTTAATATTGCGCATGCCGATGCCCTTCAATTAATGAAAATAAATGAAAATATGATCTTCCTGCGGCGGCAGAGAGAGTCAGGTCGTCCTGGTCATTTAGCTGGGGTGGACAAGAAAGTAGCCATAAAAGAAGAAAAGGCGCGTCGTAGGAGCTCCGAAGAACAAAAGCGGCGAGCTAAATATGTTGCTTCATTGACTCCATCTTACGAAACAGTGCAAGAAAATTTATCTCCAGACTCCGAGATAGATTTACAATAAACTTTGTCCATTCCAACTCAAAGCACAGAGCCTGATACTAATCAAACTCAAATGAGGCAAAGTTTCATAACTCCAAGATTAGTGGCAGCATTAGATGGGTGTCAGTTAAGTATTAGAAATGCTGTTTTTATTATTGAAGCGATCATTGAGGCACTTGGACATAACACTGACGAGATTCCTATAAGCAAGTCCTCCATTCAAAGAATTCGTACCGTAAAGCGAACGGAGCGCAGAAGCAATGAAGCTTAATTTCCAAAGCGAGGTACCAGATACTGTAATTGTCCACTGGGATGGAAAATTGTTGCTACCTTTAATTACACGCAAGTCTTAAGAAGAACATCTACCGACTATTGTAACGTGTCAAAATAATGAGCAACTTATCGATGTGCCCAAATTGGTTAACTTTTCAAGTAGCGTCAGGCTCAGGCAGTTTGGAATGCTATTATTGACTGGAATCTTGAAGATAAAGTTCAGATTCTCTGTTGTGATTCTACTGGATCAAATAATGCAGGAGCGTTATATAAAAACCTAAAAAACGTCAAAAAAACGACAATTTTTATGTTGCAGATTAGATAGTTTTTAGTGTGCAAATAGTTCGTTCCCCGTTTGCTCGCTATGATCGTTGTTCGCTGACGTTTAGGCAACACGTACAGCTACAAAACGAGTTCACAACAAGAGTACAACAGCTTGTGCTAAGTTAACATCTTGTAGAACCTGCGTTATGTCACAAAAAACCTACATGATATCAAAAAACCGAAAAAAATATCACTTTTCAAGTAATACGCGTGCCGGTCGCATTAACGGTGCCTACTGCTTCCTGAACAGAAACTTAATAAAAATGCTTATTTTTGCTTGCCGCTATTACGTCTACGAATTGGTGTTAAAAGGTGTGTTTGAAACAAAGATCGACCAAGTGACTATAAGCCCTGACATTCCAATGTTTAAAAGAAAGTGTGGACCCCGACAAAATACAGATTTATGCTGAAAAGGTATCATGCGTGACTATTTCAGAGACCGACAAGCTGCTAGAATTTTATCGACATGAATTGACCAAAGAAGTTGCTAGAGACGACTATCGATAATTCACAGAACTTTCATAAAACTCCTCGGCGAAGAAGATACAGAGAAAAAAAAATAAGGATCCACCGCCAGGCGTCATGCATCAAGCTCGGTGGGTGACCAGAGCTATCTATTCTTTAAAAGGGCCGTATCGTCAGTCGTTCCTACAATTTTAGGATGCCTTTATGGCCTCATTGATTTTCATAGTCTTTCCTCTCCTTCAGAAAGTCGGGGATATTTCTAGATTTTTACTGTTCCGTATCAGCGTCAACTCTCTCCTATTGCCAGGTTGTGTTTTCTTCATAAATTGTAGGAAATTTCAGGCTATACGAGGGGCACGCTGTATATTTTGAGTTGCGCGTTAACTATTCTAGCTAAGACCGACAACAGGCGTCCTGCAATTGTAGGAACGACTGACGATACGGCCCTAAGTTCTCAGCTCCATCTTTCTAATGAGGATAAGGCAGCTCTGTTAGATATCTGCCTGTTCATCGTGAATCGTGACAACATATGTGAAACCGTGGTTGCAATGCACTTTAGCGGTAAAGGCGCCTAACCAGGATTTACGCTTTTTAAAGGCAATGAAGGCTTGCGAAAGAAATGCCAGAACCATTTTAAAAGCAACTTTAAAAAAGTTCTGCCAAAATTTACGGTATTTGACAGATCAGGTCTCTGTTTGACGTAGATGAGGAAACTATTATGTATCGAAGGAAGAGACTAAACCTAAACAGTGGTCATCACGTGATTATTGCGTGATCAGTACACTCATATATTTCATCATAACTGTTATTAGGCAGAATAGGTCGAACCCTTACACAAAACCAATGACAAACCAGAGGGTGGAGTGGGAGACGATACGACCGTGCATGTCGGTGGCTGGCCGTACAGTACAGAGTTGGCATCAGATTTATACTGGTATTACTGTGTGCTTAGATTTGTCAGTTTAATTTCGTAGAACTCAAAATGCCTCATACGGATACAGCTGATGAAGTTGTTGATATAAGCTGCACACCGCCTAAAAAAGAGCTAAAAGGCTTCATTTTAGCGTTAGCGAAAAACAAATAATTATCAACATTTATAAATACGAAATGCAAGGAGAGACTCAAATGTTCAGGACATTGTTTGCAAAGCTGACACCTACATATTTTTCAATACTTGTAAGACGAGGAATTTCAACTAAAATTATATTTTATTTTTGTTTTTGTACATGCTTAAACTATATCGAGATAAGAAATCAAGCAATTATTTTGTTGGGTTATTATTTAAAATAGGAGCAGTTTTAAAGTTTCCAAAATGAAGTATTTTTAGAAAATGTAGGCGATGGATAATTTGTCACATCGGTAATGAAAATGGGTTTGTGTCCGATGCCTTATGGGCATTTGAACCCAAAGAAACGGGAGACTACCAGGAAGAAATGGATGGAGCCTCATTCGAAAATTGGTTCTCAAATACTCTACCGAAGCTTGAAGATAATTCGGTTATAGTATTAGATAATGCTTCATTCCACACGAGAAAATTAGAGAAAATTCCAACAACGTCAACAAAAAAATCAGAAATTCAAGGATGGATTAAAAATAAAAAGATTGATTATGATACGGTTAAGGCAGAATTGTTACAAATTGCCAAGGCGCATAAAAATAAATATAACCTGAACATAATTGATGATATGGCCAAAAAACAAAATAAAACTGTTTTAAGACTGCCTCCTTACCATTGTGCTCATTTGGGCAGACATAAAAAGTATGTTGCAGCAGAAAATAAATGTTTTAAATTTTCTGACCTTAAAAATATTTTTCATGGTTGCTATACAAAGAATAACACTGAATAAGTGAGAAAATGTATCAGCATGTAAAAGAAAAGGTCGAACCTAAAATGTAGGAATTAGACGGTATCATTGATACTCACGTTGTCCATTCAATCATAAATCTTGATGACAGTGGGAGTTCCACGGCCTCAGATCTAGAATGATTTTCATTTTCAAATACATGTATTTCCAGTTTTAGAGGTAAAAAACTCCACTTAACTATTCATTTTTTAGTCTGATATTAAAATTAACTGTTTCCACACTGACGTCACTGTTCAAGCGGTGCTTAGGTATACTTGTATGCATATGCAATTATCGTTTTCGTGTGTCAAGACATTTTTTAAAAGCCTGCTGTATAAATGTGCCTTACGACACATTTCGAGTATAATTTCTTGATAAAACACTTCTACTAAAAACAACAATAGACAGTTGTTTTCTTTTTGGTCATGACAGTTAAATTAAAAAAATACATTAATTCTAAGCTTTACGTTTGGACCCCATACATGCCTGCAATAATTTTGCATACTTTTTGATCGTGTCGTAGAACCACACATAATTTATTCTTAGTACGGCCCTGTAACGTGCTCGGCGTTCTGGAGCGCGATCACGTGGAGTATACGTGAATATGTTTAGGTTTGGTGTCTTTCTTCGATGGACACATAATAAAGTAAAAATTGTTGCTAATTTATCCAAAGAAAGTCCATCAGCCCACGGTAAACGCTACATCCTATCGAAGGAACTTTCTGGCCCACTTTATGGTAAGTCTGACGAATACATTTTCATTAGTCTTCTTTTACTTCTTCGATACGAGGGGCACGCTGAATATTTTGAGACGCGCATTAGCTATACTAAGTAAAACCGGCAAGAGTGCACTATTAGAAAGAGCAGTCCTTTATTAGTAAGCCGCCGCATTCAGTTCATTTGCAAGCGTCTTACAGTGCACGTAGTGTAAACAAATTTAAGACGAAACACGGAGTTGTCTCGAGAGAGTTATCGCGCTATGATTTACCATGACCTTAACTGAACATCAATGAATCGAACGGTTACAACAGGCATTTGGAAATGAAACTCCGGCAAGTGTGTTTCGCTGGTATGCCGAATTTAATAGAAGGCGTGTGTCATTGACTGATGAAGAACGTAGTGGTAGACCATGTTCTAGTGAGATTCCAGAAAACATTGCTAAAGTTCAGCGGCTAATTGAAGAAGATCCTCGCTGCACATATGCGACAATAGAGGCAACTCTTGTGGCTACAGAGTGCATTGATGCTGGAGGAGTCTACTTTGATCATGAATAAAATAGTTTTCGTAAAATAGTTGTTAGTTTTCGGGTATATATTTAATATGCTAACTGTTAAAATGAGCCAGCATAAACCGCGATTCTGGCAATAGATGGCACCTTATACTATCTTGCTTCGATAGATCGTATACCTCAGATAGAGGTTAGTTGTTGTGCTTCCGTTCGTTGTCCTGACCTGAGGCCAAGCCTAGCTGATGAGTTGCCAAAAGCATAAAAGATCTGTCCATGGTTGACTGTCTGAGGTCGGACAGACAAAACCAGTATGTTTAGATGGTAGCTATTCTTCGTTTTTTCATTTCACAGAAAAATATCGATGACTTTGTTTCATTCAAAAGCAAGTCCTTGTTCAGTCAAAGCAGTATTGATAACAGTTGTCTCAACTAGTGTCCTCCATGGCCACATAATGATTCCTTTCAACACGCTAAGAATAAGGTGCAAACACTGAGAGCAGTTAACGTTCCGTACAAGAACACAGGCAGGGAGGATGTCACTGCAAAACGAAAACTTTGAAGATAAATTTAGTAAATAATGTTCTTTTAATGATGAATATCTAATCAATATAAGATGCAAATAAATCAGTGTTTTATTTGTCGAATAAGAATTAGGTTTTGAAATCCATACGATTTCCCTATCAACTTTCAAATACAAAGTTTGACCGAAAGTAGGCACGGGTGATCGTTTCCCGATCGTAATGATATTAATGTTTTGAGGTGTTAGAGTCAAATGCAAAAAATTAGAAGGTATGCGTATCTCAATCGAACTAAAATCCGTAATCTAGGTGTCTCGCCACTACTCTGCAAGTCGGCCTGTCGTCAGAAACCTCTGCAGCGGTCTGGGCGATTATTTTTACTTCTTTCGCTTGTAGCTGCACCGATCTTCAAAAATTACAAAGCTTTTTCGTCCTTGCATAGTAGTAACCTTGTGTCAACATTTCACCAAAATGCTGTATTGTTCATGTTATACATGTAGATGTACCAAGGATTAGCAGATAGACTGGCGGACCGGAAATGACGTATGTCATATATGGTAACATACAAAAAACATCATACATCATACAGCATACATATTTACCTAACGGAAATATTGCAAAAAAAACTGGGTTAAGGCACCATTTTCCCCACACGAGCGAGAAAACGAAGTAGTAAACTGGAAAACGATAAAAACATACTTTGAAATCTATGGGAATCGATACTTCTCAAACTCCCCCAAAACTTTGTAGATGTAACTACCAAATAATTGGACTATTTGCTATTTTTATCAGGATATTCTACTACGTACCTGCTACTGCTGCCGCACTATATGCTGCGCTAACAGGAGCCTTTTCTAATAACTTACAAGCTTCTGGCTGATTAACGACCATTTTATCACAGTCGTTTTGCTGAAAATTAAAATTAAACAATACTTATTTTATTTCAAAATCAAATTTCGAAAATTGGTGCTGAACGGACAGCACATGGAATAACCCTAATGGAGAATGCAGAATTCAAATTTTTGATGATGACACGTTGACTTATACAGGGTGATTCACAAGTTGAGACCAAAAATGAAACATCATACACAGGACCGCATTTTACAAGTGGTCTTCTATGTAACATTTTACCCTCGATGGCTTCATTAAAAAAACGGGGTTTTGAAGTTTAAAAATATTTTTTTAATATCTTCAAAACCGTCAACTAAAATTTGGTATGTGTAAGTCAAGTCAAAAGTTTTTTTGCCATTTTTGAGTGTTGTGAAATGGAATTGGCTTCTCGGGAGTATCAACGTAAATTTCCCAACGGATGCCAACCTACCCCAAAGGTTTTTACGCGTTCATTTCTAAGACTTGGAAATAAGGAATTGCCAAACTTCTCCGAGTTAGAGGCCATGGTGTCCGGCATACTGTTCAAGAGGAACTGGAAGTGATTAATTTGGCGTTGGATGATACTAGTACAAGTATCAGGCGGATGGCAGCCCAGTTACCATGTTCTCAAAGCATTGCGTGGAGAATTTTAAATCGGGAAGTTTTACATCCTTACCATCGGCAAAATGTGCTTGTCTACAACCCGGCGACGAAGTGCAACGGACAAATTTTTGTAAGTGGCGACTGCAAATGCATAATCAAAATGCAGATTTTATTGATTTGGTTTTGTAGTCAGATGAATCGCTTTTTACGAGCAGTGGAACTTTTAATTCTCATAATTAACATATTTCATCATTAGAAAATCCCCGTTCTGTAAGAATCCACTCGTTTAACACAGTTTCTAGAAATGTCTGGTGCGACATTTTCAATGGCCAACTGTTTATGCACGTATTGCAACAATGTTTAAATGCGAACTCATACTTTTCTAGATAATTACATAGAAAATGTATTAAATGATGTTCCGTTAGCAAAGAGAGTACGAATGTGGTTTCAGCGCGACTGTGCCCCACCGCATGTTCGTCGTGATATAACCGCATGGTTAAATAATCATTTTAGATAACGATGAATTTGCAGAAACGGACCCGTACATTGGCCTGCGAGGTCTCCTGATTTCAACCCTCTCGATTTCTTTTTGTGGGGCGATTTTAAACAACTAGTATATGTTGAACAAATTGATACATGAGGCCGCAGCGCGATGTGCCTAAGAGGCAGACCCGCCTGACTTTGGCATACCATCCTAATCGTGTCGAACTTCGTACATCCAGAACTGGCCGGTACGACCGCTCCTTTGTCCCAAGGGTGTCGAAATTGTGGAACAATCTACAAGAGGGAGGTTTTCCCAGTTCTACTAACCTTAGGCAGTTCAAAAATCGTATTAACAAAATTTCTTTGGGATCATCATAGCAGCCGCGGTATCCCGGCATTTAGGCTTCTGCCTGCGCGGCTGCTTCGGTATAAAAAAAAATCAACCAATTTTGCGGAAATACGTTTTTATTTATGTAAAAGATACCGCACTTGCATCCGTCAGAATGGTGGCCTTTTTGAACGTTTATTGAAACAAAGCTTTGAATATCTAATTTGTTTTTATTTTATTTTTGTGAAAACAATGCACTCTAGGAAAAAAACACAAGAGTAATGATGGTATAAGCATATTCAAAGTAAAATTTGAGAAAGTATCGAAAAAAAACCAGTGGCGTACTATTTTTATTTGGAAAAATAATGCCACTAATCCCCTGTATCTCCGCCCACTGGTGCAGGTTAATTTTAAGTAAACACTTTTGAATGTGGACAATACTTAGGTAAATCCACATACCAAATTTTAGTTCATTCGAGATGACGGTTTGAAGAGTTAAAAAAATGTTTTTTATTATTAAACTTGAACAACCCGTACCTTTTTAATGAAGTTCTCGAGGAAAAAATGTTATATAGAAGATCCCCTTTAAAATATGGTCCTGTGTATGATTTTTCATTTTTGATCACGACTTGTGAGTCACCCTGTATAAGTATAAAAATTCAGTCTGGTATCTCTTATATAGGTTGTTTCAAAATGGTTGGCAACTAACAAATTCAAGTAAATACAAATAAAACGAAAGCTATGTTTCCATACCAGAACACTCATCACGGTTTCAGGGCTAACGTACAGATAAATCTGTTTTGTGTGAAATATGTCGAATAGGTTTAGAATTACCAATGTTAGGAGCGTAAAAATGTACCAGCATCAAAAAAATAAGATAAACATCAAAAAAAGTGATTTTAAGCGATTTTTTCATTTTTCGTTTTAGGCCTTTCTATCTGCCGCCACTAGACCGCCAGTAGGCGTAGAAAGTAAAAATAAATGTACAAATGTTCAGCTAAATATCAATGGTGAAGATACTGAATTAGAAAATTTTAAATGCTTTGGGGTTTTTGTCGACTATTCTATATTTGGCTAATAATTCCATTGTTGAGATTGTAAATTTTTCAAAACAAGTGCATGAGAACAATACTGAATGAAGAAATTTACTCCAATTAGACAAATTAAAATGGCTCAACGTAAATATGTATATTGTAATTATATTCATTTATAAAGTAAAAAATAATATATTTCCACCATGTCTAAACAAATTAACATCATCAAACCAAATCATCGCCTGCATGATACCAGAAATAAATATGACTTCCACTTAATGTCTAAAAAGTATAATATATGTTACAAATATGTATTCCATCAAGGGTTGAATGAATATAATAGATTAAACGCAGAGATAAAAGACCAGAATACTTTGGACTAAATTTAAAGTAAAATTGAGGAATCATTTATTATATCTACAATTATAGCTTGCCCACCATGTGCATAATATGGCTTGAATTTGCTAATTTTAGGTGATTTATAATTATATTGTTTATGCACTGAAACGTGCTAAATAAATCTTTCTACTACTACATTTCATTTGATGAAAATCATCGCCAGACAATTTTTCCAACTTGTACACCCATCGCATATATATCTGCCCTCCCAAAATCTTACAGCAAGCCCGGCCGAAAACAAAGAACTCTCACGTTTTGGAGCCGCTTCGAATCCAACCGAGCCCACCTTTTTTTGTTATTTCTGCTATTTCAGCTTTCATTCAATACTGTTATTCACTAAAACTGGATATTTGTATGAAATTATATTATATACTGTTATGTAAAGTGAACACCAATAATAAATTTTTTATCACATCCTGTGTGCAGATATAGGTGTACCAAGCTGTGAAAATATGTTTTTTGAATAAGTTGACTTTGATTTTATAAGTATTTGAACTACTGTGTAGTGGGTTCTTGCATTTAAATGATGAAAAGCAAGCTAAAACTGTTCCAGCAACCCATGCGTAAATTCGTTTGTCACCTTTTGACCTTTTTTAAACCGAGGCAGCCGCGCAGACAAAACCTAAATGCCAGGGCAGCGCGGCTGCTATGAGAAGAGAAAACTTTATTAATCCCATTCCCATCTGACTAAGGTTAGTAGAACTGGAAAAAGCCCCCTCATGTAGATTGTTCCAAAATATCGATACCCTAGCGACAAAGGGCCAGTTCTCGATGTACGTAAGTTCGACACGGTTAGGATGGGAACCCGAAGTCAGGCCAGTCCATCTCGCAGGCACATCGCGTGGTAGCATCATAGAGGAGAGCTCCGAGGAGCAAAACATTGGCATGGCGGTAGAAGAGAGCTAAATCGCCGACGGCCAGCCGGTGAAAAAGGGTCCCAAGACTGTCCGTTAGAGAAGAGTCATCGTTCAGTTGAACAGCCGTCCTCTGAACAGCATCGAGCATGGATAATGTAGTCGGGGCGGCAGCACTCCAAACATGTGAGCAATACTCGAGGCTAGTTCTTATCTGGGGCTTGTACAGAGTGATGAGGTCATGTGGAGTAAACTACTTCTTAGCCGTAAAAATAATAAAATAGCCTAGCTTTTTCCCAACAGCTGCCGCTACTGACGAGATGTGTTCGTGCCAGATCAAGTCCTCGGTGATCTGGTCTCAGACCAGCCGAAATAAACGGCTCTTTGGTAGAACTTGACCTTCCATCGAAACCGAATGAGTACTAGAAGGCTTTTTGTTCGTCAAGGTACAGTACTGTGTTTTGAAAGCACTAAACTGTCCAACTGTGCGTCCCCCAGATCTCTCATCAGAGAAACAATGGCTTACTCCTCAGTTTTACATGGAACTATCCGGCAATCAGATGCTACTTATGAAATTCAAACCCTTACAACTAGATGGAACCATTGCACTGTTTGGATAAATGATTTTAAAAATTCCAAGAACGCACCAAATCCAAATACGTACCTATAAAAAAATAGTAGTACTTACTGCTGGAGATATTGTTGACAATAATTCATACACGAAAACGGTAAAATATTTGTTGCAGTATTAAATGAAAATTAAAATAGCATAAAATGGACATTGAATGGGATTCGAACTAACTCTCCAAAATAGCTTTATGTGATTTGGCGCCCGCTTGCACAAGAACTCGCTCAGCAAGGTGGCGGTGGTTGCTGATTACGTTTAAAGAGCGAATACTTACAGATCCGGTTACGTGAATGAAAAGAATTTATTTTTTCTTTTTTTTTTCATCATTTTTGTAGAAAGAATGCTTCTAGGATAATTCAAAGAAAAATTAAATTGTTTTATGAGATAAAAAACAGAATGTCGTCCAATATCCGGTGTACTGCGAGTGTTATAAATCAATAATTGATTGCCATGTCGATATGCGATAATAAATTATCGCCTAAATTTTCAAAAATACCAACCCTTGTAACATTTGAGAATTATCGTATACGAATTTTATTGCCGGTTTCAGAAATACGGGCCCTGGATATGTGGGATCCAAACACTTTAAAATTTACTGTTCCGTTTATTATTTTTTTTTTGAGAAAAAATACATTTTGCATTTTTGTTTACCCTGTATTGATGATTCAAAGAACTAAAAATGGGCGAATTAGGTTCAGATTCATTCCAAC